GTTTCTTTTCACGCTTTTCGCGTCTCCGCGAGACAGGAAGTGGCTACGCAACGCGTGGACAACCAAGAAATTTGAATTTTACATGAGTTTCGATATGCTCGTTACGTTGGAAACTCGGAATGAAAATTAGAATTCCAATGACCGAGCTTCGAAGGTATTTGAACTTGGTTATAGGCAAATTCTTTTACGATAATGCATCCCTCGAGTATGTGATTTCGATTGCCACGAATACCTCGAAATATCTCCGACAAGAATGATCCTACCTGATACGGCCACACCGAAACTCTAACCTTAATCTTAACCTTAACCTTACTCGAAGAGTAATACGTAAGTCTACCTGACACGAGTAGATCTACTCATAGCGTAATGCGTAGAAGGTCTAACCTTGATACTGATCCTAACAATAAATCGGTTTCCGAACATTTGTAAATTTACCATCTCGACGATACGATGGTATTTCACATTCTTAGCTCCCTTTTCGGATTGTCTTCTGTCTTACGCGAGTGGAATCTCGTCGATGATTTAAGAACATTCCGGATTGTTTTTTTATATTGTTAGCAAAACGAATCGAGAAAAGCCAGACAAGGCAGAGTGAAATTGTATCTCGATGACGAAGTCGAAGATTTAGGAGCAGGCATCGTAAATGCCGATTCGATTTCGGGAATGAAGAGACACAGTGGGAGGCTGTTGTGGGAAATTTGCCAAAAGTCAGAGCAGAAATCAGTCTTCTACCCGTATGTTTGCCCCGTTGCCTAGCGTACAGGCTCCACGTGAATTCGTGGGTAATACGACACCCCATCGTCATCGTGATCGCATCGCTCTTACGACATCATCGATTATTTCGCATTTTTATTACTCTCCCGAACATGTTTTTTTTTTGGCGCGTCACAGACACCAATTTTTCATGGCGCGGTCAAATTTTCTGTTACAGCCGTGCTCACGAGGGCACTAATTATTTTCTAAAATAACCGTTTCGGCCTTTGAAAGTATCGCTAAGGAATTCTACGAGAACCGATTAAAAATACCGCGATAAGTGTAATCGTCAATGTTACGCGCTGCCCCATCATTTTCGTTATCAGCTAATGAAGAAGCGAGGTGAGCTCATACTCGGTCATTTACACCGCGTCATCGACGAGAGTGACTCGCGAGCATGTTGCGTTTCGTTCTTTATCATCCGTATACACGCTCGAACAACGATAAAAGAATCTGACAATCAATTGAACTTCCTTTCAAATTGTACGTGTTTATGAATCCCATCAATGTTCTAAATCCAACAACGAGACCCAGATCCGAGCTGGATGACGCTATGAAAACGCGTCGCTTCGAAGCGTTACCGACACTCGTTTCGTCTTAATGTTACCGAGTTCGAAGAATGCGTATGTCGCCACAAACTTTTGGAACGACTTAATAGTTATTCGAATAATTTTAGTCGATTGGACAAGGAGGTTCTTTGTGGTTCGTGACGACATCCTTCCGGTGCGTGTCATCGGACCTAATCATGCGTATTTCCAACAACAAAGTCTACCTTTGCGCATCTGCTCTCGATTTACTCATTTTCTTCTCCAGAAACCATGTACTCTCTGTTCCGATCACGATCGAACAAACGATCATTGTTGGTCCTCAAAATATCTTCTCCGAGTAACAAATAGCGATCTAAACCCACGCTACTTCGAACAAGATCCTTTCATCACCTCCGGAATAATTATAAGAGGAAAAAATGTAAATTCTGTTGCAAATGTATGGATACGTTTGGGAAAAAATTGTCGAGCCTCCAGTCGAGGTCCGGAGGAGGCATGGACGTCATCGATATGCAGCCTTCCGTAGAAGGAGGTTTACGACTCGGTTACACGCGAACGATACGAACGTGCGTGTATACACACGCGCGTTCTTGTTACATCTCGACCAACAGCAACATGTACAGAGTTTGTTTGAAAAGATAAGACCAGGTCGAACGTAGGCCAATAATTTCGTCCTGACGTCACTCTCTATTTCCTCTGCTCCACCTTAGGACAACAACGGCTACCGTCGATTTTGCTGTATCGTAATCGCGAATGTCTTCGAGGTGCCATATCCGTGCTATCGGTTGTTATTTACAGAGATAATTATCCGAAATTAGCGCAACAGGGCTCGGTCGAGTCTCTTTCCTGTAGATATCGAGGATCGATCCGAAAAGTCTCGAACTCGGGGCTCTAAGATCTGGCGAGACGGAGATTAAGAAATTTCCTGTATTCGTGTAAACAAGCTTAGCGAAGGAAAACCGTGTGCAGTTTATTATCGTCGATCGATGCTCGCATTTCGGATCGGTAGCAACATTAATAGCAAGTTTGTGTCGAACTTTTCAGCGGGCTCGTGTAACTCGTTCCGTTCGAGCGACCATTAATCTTCCACTTGCCGGTAATAAAATTTACAACGACGTCAAGTCGATGCCGTGGAAACAGGAACGTTGTCGAAGACGCGAAAGTATCGGTGACTTATTTCCATCGAACACGTTCCCTTTCATTTGGTCCGATTGAGACCGGTGTCACTGACCGTAGCTCTCTCTCTCTCTTTCCCTTTTGCCTCTTGTCCACCACGTTTTTCGACGAGTATCGCACCAGCGCCTTATGAACGAGCCTTAAGTCCACAAACTGAGAGAAAGAAAAAAAAGAGCAAAGATGCATTCCAGCATGGAACGGTGGGATGGATCCGTCTCTGATAACCCGCCCATTGGAATGCGTACCTCGTACACCTTGGCTTATTCTCCCTCTCGATTCGACTGCATTCAAGTGCATCTACTTTGCAGCTTTCGCACACCGGTGTATTTCGGCTGCGTATTTTTAGATGCGGCGTTATATTAATAATACCTTGGACTACGTGGGCTACCGTAGGCACGCGTGGCCTCGTCAATTTGTCACATTTCACTGAAAAATTTTAACTAAATACGTTTCGCTCGATGTTTAACACCGTTAATCGTTATTGCCATATAACGAGTGGCTATACCACGTGTGGCGCTACAACGCTTGCGTTGTAATCTATGGTACTCCATAAAAATTGACCGAAAATATTGGATACAAAAGTTCCGTTATCACGCATCACTAACGTAATTTATTTCCACATTCTGTCAGAATCTCGGTATAAATTAATGGACGTTCGATCGGGAACCAGGTCCAATTCTTTCTATAAACACGTTGGGTGATTTATTATAGTTATTTTCGTTAAGAGACCTCGATCCGACGTGGGGAGCTTCGAATAATTTTTCCAACGTACAAACAAAATGTAGGTCAATCCCCGAACGACACGTACGTATTTACTCTCGAGCGAGAAACGCTTTTTAATCATCGATGACTGGCTCTCTTCCTGGACTCGAGGCTCGCGTCACAGGGACGAAATTGGGGCCAGAGGATGAGCGCTTCGATTCGATTCCCGTCTCTGTCTGTCTCCAGAAATAGGATCACGAAATTGCGTCATCGTTGTTGCCGTAATAGTTGGATACGTTTACGATGCGCGTTATTATCAACAACGCTGTTATTCGGAACAAAGCGTCGAGTTCCGCGAGTAGTCGCGACACGAGTTCTCGAGCAAAGATTCGAGCATGGGCCAACTGGATTTTAAGATCGGCCGCGATACCTGCTTTCTCGAAATATTAAGCTTAAAATAAGCGTCTGTCAAGCAACAAGTAAACATTACAGACGAGTTCATTGGCCCGGATTTCCTAAACCTATATCTTCTTTCGACGCGGCCGCCATAATGGAGAACGAAAGCTACTCGATAGCCACTTAAAACTAACTATTCTCCATTAGGGAGCGTTCCGCAAATAATCGCTGGACGAATTTCTAAATAAAATCTTGTAGCTTCCCCTAGTTCGATTAACAGGTATCCGCTTTCTCGATATCGCGCTAAGTCAGGAAACGAGTCGGTGGATACGAGGATGTTGAGCAGAGTTAAAAAATAGCAAGGGTTCGTATCATAAGCTCTCTGTTTAATGTCCTAACATAGGACGTGGACGTAAGTCAGGGTTAAGCTTGGTGGGCACCGTGAAAGCCTGCCTTCTCTAAAAATAGTCTCGGACCGGTTTAAAAATAGGCCCTGAACGGACACGTATACGTTGCTCGGTTGTACGTAGCGGTCGAGAAAACCGAACGAACAGATAGAATGTTGCAGGCGAGCACAAGGTGCATAGTGCTGCGAAGGTATACGACATATCGGCGGAACACGTTGCTGCTGGCTGTTGCCGTGCCACCGCGTGGAACCGCGATGAATGAACGTGTACACGGTGCACGCGCGAACCCGCACGCGTTCTCGGCATCACGAGTTCGCGTTTCGGCGCATGCTTCGATTAATAATAGCGCCCGACGGTTTTCGAGAAACCGTACACGCAACTTGCCCTCCGGAGTATACTAATTTTCTAATTAATTTGACGAGAGGCGTGTCTAAATTATACCGCGTTGGGATCCAAAAATTATGCCGCGCGACCGATTCTGCATTGGCGTAAAGGAGCAGGGACCAAGTTCGACTGAATCGTCGATACTCGACAGTTTATCGAATCGTCTAAGAAAAATCCTATTATAGTTACGCCAATGAAGATTGCAAATTCAGTAGCCAATTCGAGGTTTATCGTGTTTTATCGATTGATTTACGATAGTTCTGCGATGGAACGAGATCGCGTAAAGCGTAATTAACCTCGAGTAAAACAGAGGTGTAACGCGATAAATTATGATGATTTAAGGCGACTCATTGATCACGCGAGGTAATTCATTTGCTTAATAGCCGAGCGTTCGTCGCGCTCGAAGAACGATCGAACCGAGTGTCGCGTAAATCACGATCGACGATATCCTTCCCGAAGGAACGCCCCTGTAAAATGTATATCTCGATCTCTTTGAAAACGAGTAAATGCTCGATGTCGTTTCGAGACGCGACGGAATAATAAGATCCGAAGCGAGGAATTTATCGCGCGTCCTGTTTCTAACAGTAGGCATCTGTGAAGCGGATAGCTCAGACGTGTAAAGTGTTGTATATTGCAGGTTAATAGCGGCTCCCCGGCGGAAGCAGCTGGTTTGAAGGCCGGCGATGCAGTTATCAGGGTGAACAACACCGAGATGTACAACCTGAGGCACAAGGACGCGCAGGATGTTATCATGAGAGCTGGAAACAATTTCGAGATCACTGTACAGAGGTAGCGACAGGCACGATCACTGTTTTAACGTTACTCTGTCCGACGACGCGAACGCGAGGAAAATTAAGTGGACGAGAAGCGGACATCCAGCGGATAAGAAAGCCCGCTTTTAGTCCGCCTCTTCTCGTTTATTTTCGATCCGCTTCCGTTTTTAAGTAATACGGGAAATGTATAAGCGTTAAATATAAAGTGAAAACGACTAGCGAGTAAAGGTTAATTTATTTGGCTACCGTTGTCGACAGAGGTGGCGGTACCTGGAAGCCACACGTGTCTCCGATAACTTCAACCCTTCCGTCGCCATCGCCGACGTCGTCGGTTAGCAACATTACGCCGGTTACGAAGACGTCGTTGGCAGCCAAGAAGCAAGACGGACCGCTCATCGGAAGCGGTCATAATTTCAGTCCAAAGCCATTCGTTAGTGTCAATTATATAAAGGCATCGAGGAATTTCGACCTCGTTTCATGTTCTTGAAATATGATGTTCGCGACGTTATTGTGAATATTCGCGTTGCAGCTGAATGGAACGGGAGATGGCTCGATCAAGTCCATCGTTAACAAACAGTACAACAGCCCCGTCGGTATCTACAGCGAAGAAACGATCGCGGAAACGCTCTCCGCGCAAGCGGAAGTTCTGGCTGGAGGCGTTCTCGGGTAAGTTCCGAGCCGATTAAACCGTCGATCTACCGATTCTCGATCGCGATAACGGACCGCTGTCTTTTGCAGTGTCAACTTTAAAAAGAACGAAAAGAACTACAACGCCGAGAACAGCGAAGTGTTCAAAATGGTCCAAGAGGCGGACAAAGAACCAAAGACACCGGAACCTGGTTAGTAATCAGTGCTTTAAACTTTAAGTTCCATATGCAACTACTTATAGTTTGTTCCGTACAAGAAAAAGATAAGAAAAGAAATCTCTGGAGAGGTAGTTTCAAACATGTGTTTCGTAAATCGGTAGATATTTTAAAATTAAAAAAGATAATTGCAAATATTTGAAAGCGATCGAAAGAAGGTCTCTCCAGCGATTTTTCCACTGGATCAGCTGGCTCTTAGCCTGTTGCATGCCGGTACGATAACTTCTTTGCGAAATAGCGGAGCCAACTGCACAGAGCGGCGTGATTACGCCGTCGTCCCCGGCCCTGGCAGGACTGAGGCCAGTCTCCGCACCGGAAACGAAGCAACAGCCATCGTCGACGCCGCAATCGAGCCTTCCACCTGGACAGAACATTTGTGCCGAATGCGAGAGGCTCATCGTGTAAGTTCAACGGCCGAGACGCGTCTCGTCTACCGGTCGTCGTTACTCTCTTTCTTTCAGAACGTCACAGGCACCGGAAACCGAAAAGGAAAATAGGATGTTCGTTAATTCGAATAGGTTCGACCCCTACGAATAATTCTCTTTCGTCGAAAGAGAGCGACGGATACGCTCTTTTTCGATGTTCTGATTTCCCAACGACGAATCGGATCCTCGATAAAGAAAACTAGCTTTCGAATGCTACCGGTGTATAATTAATGTGCAATCCGGTGAAATTGTTCACACAGGTGTAAAAAGTAATTAGAGTTGATCTTAGATTTTGTAATTAGCGAATAAAAGATGAATCGAGGAAAGAGGATACGATACGAGTTGGAAATTCACGAACGCGATAGGAGGATGACAGAGAACGTTTCCACAGAGGATAGTTCGTTGTTGTTCACGATTATTAAACAGTTTTGACGTGGATTGGTCGAGTCACAGAACGGTTTCTCTACTTCCATGTCGTAGTACCATCGAGAACAGAGTTTTACTCGTCGGTGAGCCACGCCGTTGGCGGAAGGGCCACTTCGCCGAGATCACCCACGCCTCTATTTCATGCCCTCCATGGCGTTGGCCCGGATATCAATTCCGATGAATATTCGTCGAGACGTCAACCGCAACGTCAGCAGTCCTCCTCTTCCTGCTCGGGCTCGTCGAGCGTCGTTTGTAGCAACTGCGACCGTGTGATCGTGTAACTATTCACGTGAAATCCTCTTCACGGGAAACCTTTAGCTTCGCGATGAACTATGTCGCTTCTTTTTAAAGTGTCTCTTGCGTAGAAAAGTAACGCGTCTACTTGGGAACGAAATTGCAAATTCGTCATTACCGATCGTTTCTATGGATACTCTACCTCGAAACGAATCGAAAAGTCCTTTTCCGTTTTCCGATCTAACGCTTCGTTCTCGAGATACGACCGATCGAAGTTTGAGGGCCGCTTCCGGTGCAGCCCGGAAGTCGGCAATTCTGATCTTCGATCACTCGTAACTCGATAACGGAGGGTTGGATTCGAAAACGGTAAAAAGCTTATCGGCTTCTTTTTTCGCGAAGAATCGATAGATTTACAGAAACTAGATCTTGAAATATTTTCGTATGCAAGAAAATTTGTAATTCTCGTTCCGTATCGCTTCCGATTCGGAGTACGTAAAACTGGTACGCTGGTGTTTCATCCGAAAAATGCTTTTAAACGAGACAAGAGACCGTATATTTCGCATTCATCGTTACGTAGATTGGGCATCGAGCCGAGATTGTCGGTGACGATCTTTATGTTTTTTTGTATACATGTGCACGTTTTGCCGCTACTGTTTGACTGGAAGCACCAACTACCTTTATCTCTCTGTCGCCTCTGTCGTTAGCGTATCGCTTCTTCTATAAGAAAGGACGAGTCCCTTGATTCCTGTTTCTCATCGTTCCACCGAGGTGTGGCCAATCATGGCGATCATTCATCTTCATAGAAATTCTACTTCTCTCTTCTCATTCTTCGATTCTTATCGCAAATTTCAACTCCTAACGCATTTTCACCACTTTCAGTATTTATCGGGGTATGTGTAGATCACGCTTTCGATGTTGTGACTTTTTTACTTTTTTCAACATTTTTTCTATCTATGTTTTTGTGTTTTTGTACGTTTTTTTTTATGTGGACACGTACTCTTTTTGCTTAGAAAGCGACTTTTTTCAAACTACACAATTTACGAGGAATTTTGATGCCCTCTCTAGAAACACTTACATTACTTATTCAAATTCATTTCACGTAACAACATTACACAGACACAGTACATACCTTGTGTTCCCAGCCTCCATCGTCGAGGTATCGAACTCCCTGCCCCTATTTTTCTTCGAGTATCTCTGGACGAAAAACTCGTGGCACGTCCGACTACAAAGCCTTCTGCGTTCATTAGAATATCGAAAACTCGGAGAAAAAAGAATTACTCTGCTCACTGGCTCTTCTCCTTCGCAGGGGTGTCTTCGTCAGGATTAAGGAGAAGAATCTTCACGTAGAATGCTTCAAGTGCTCTACCTGTGGCACTTCCTTGAAGAACGTCGGTTATTACAATATCAACAATAAATTATATTGCGATATTCACGCGAAACTAGTCGCCAGGCAAAATGCGCCTTCCGGAATGGTTCCAATTACCATACCACCGTAAGTATTCTTTCTCATAAATAATAACCTACTTTTCATATAGAAATTAATAAAATAAATTGCCGGTATAACTGTTAGGGATACCGACAGTTAATTGCGCGATAAAGTTTGAAAGAAATTGACACGTTTCAGAGGTGGAAAAGCTCCAGCGAGCACCATTTCCGCTGCACTCGCGAATGCACCGCTGTCTCCACCTCTAAGTAATCACGCGTCGTCGCCTTTACCGTTCTCGGTAAGTATTCCACGTCCAATTAAACACGTTTTTCTCGTTTGCTTGAACGCTGCTTGCAGTGGTCGATATTTTGCATTCGATATCGCTTCGCGAATTTAATTTGTTTGAAGCCTTCTAGTACGCTTCGATATATTTTATAACGGTTTGAACGTGCGTTTCAAATATTAACAGAATTTTACTCGATCGAATAAATTTGATTCGAAAGATACTTTCGATTAAAATTAACACGTGTGGTATTTGCTTGGCACTAATCGCTTTTCCAGGCTTGCAATCGTACGAGCCCCGATTACGGATACCCGAATAGTCAGCTATCGTCCCTGAATAGGAACGGATGCATCAGCAACGGCAACTGTCACTGGGAATCGAAAACGTTTACGAGCACGATCACCATTCAAACGGGTTCCACAGAGGTTGGCAAACCCGCGAATCTTTTGCTACGCTGTAACTTCGTTGTCGGATCTTTCGATTCCTTTTGTTTCCCTGTTCACGATATTATCCTTCGTACTCGAAAGTAATTTTCTATAAAAGATTATCGAAACTCCCCGGAGTTCTATTCGACAAAGAATTGTGTCATAGACAATAGACTGTCTATATATTTACAAGAGAAATATTCGAGACGGAAGAATTATTAATAGAAGAATTATTGTCGGGTGCAAAGGGTTAATTATCTTTCTCGATCTTCCGAGTTAAATTCTTTCTCGTTTAACCGACATCGTAATCATCCTCCGAAAATAACTGTTATTTTTAGTCTTCGTTGAAAATACACTCGAAATATTACGATCTAAAATAGTTTAGTCAGTCGCGATTAATCATCGAATCGAAGAGAGAGAAAGAAACAGGAAACTCGAGGCGGATTCGACGAAGAGGAAGGAACGATATTACGAAAGGCAAATTAATAGTCATCGGTATGATATTCGACCTGTTCGTCCTTCCGATCAACGAAACTTCCTCTTCGTCGAACGAACGATAACATTACCGTATCATGATCCTTCAAATTATTTCGATACGATGACTAATTTGTTTTGGCCCGATTACGAGTGTGCGTGTTAATTGGTCTTCTCTTCCTCTTTTTTTAATTGGCCACCGCCACGTGACATCGTTCTGTCGTTTTATGTATTACAGCCCACCCGCCTTGGCACCTCGCCCATCGAACCACCCAGTTTCCGATCAGTCCAGGTAATGTCCCATACGCGGCTCGTCTTAAACGTCTCGCACTCGAAACCTTACTCTCGGTAAGGTACATACACCCGTTAGTGTTCCGATGATAATCACGCTGCTTTGAACACCAGTTATGCTCTCCAGACAAGTACGTTGTGCTTAAAAGAACAGCCGACCAAGAGAATACTTTATTTTTTAACGACCCTCGCCGTGTGACTCTGCTTGAATTCCCTCCTGAGATTTGATTCAGTGATTCGGTACGGTGAGAACAGTTATCGAAACGATTTCTTTTTTCTTTTTTTTTTTAATCTTCGAGAAAAGTGTTGGTGCATAAGTAGATTCTGCGCGAAGCATGGTGTCAAGGCAGCGGAGAATAAAATCAACGATAGTGTATCGTTTTCCTCACTAATTCTCCACCCGTTGCGTATTAGATTGGCGACTAAATTTTACTTCTTCTACAGAATTATTCAAATGGCCTACTTTTTTCTTTCGTTCTCGTATAGATTTCCCTTTCACTATTTACGAACTCATAAATATTTATAGCGATTTCTCTACGGTGGATTTAGTTGCCAAACTAATAATTAGACGTAGCAAAGTGCATCGCATATGTCGTGTCGTTTGTCATTACGCCTTACTAACACGTTCGATGAGATCATTGTTGTTTGCATCGTTTTTTTTACTCGTTTGTGTCATTATGTCATTACTTCGCGGAGGAAAATGGAACGCGGAATAATAAAGTATGTTCTGTATCCGTGCAGGCGCCAACGTCTAACAATCTAATCGGTCCAAAGCCCTTCGGCGGATCCAGTGCTTTGTCCTCGCCACCGCTAGCAAATTCAGGAAACAGCACTCTTCCACGACCACAAAGTCAAACAGTGACTGGTAAGTTTCTCTTCTTTCCACATTTATCGCGAGAAAAACTACAAAATTCTCGTTAAAATATAGCTCGACGAAACTTCTCTTTTTATTTACGGTTCGTTATTAGCACGTTCGAGATAATAGGTGCAAACGTGTTAAACTGCGGATGTTTATGTATTCATAACGTGACAAATCACGGAAAAAATTTACAATATTCTATTATTTTTTCTTTGAACAACTTTTATTTTTACTTTCTAATTAATATTACTTGTAAGAGTTTAAAGATTCGTGTAAGAGAAGGTCATAGCAGCGTTCAAAGCGTGTACATACATAAATATTCGCAGCCTGATTATTATATAATTACGACAGCGTTAGATAACGCGGTCAAATTTTTGATGTAAGAGAGAAAGAGAAAGATATCGGTGCGATTAAAAGCACATACCGATATCAGTATGTTGTGCCAGTATTCATACTTATCAGTAACAACGACCCACGAAGAGTCATAATTTTCAGTTTATGCAATATTTCGTCGGGTTTTAAATTGATATATTTAAAGACCTATACTTAAAAAAATAAATTCTCACCGAAATTATCGCGGTGAGATAACTCATGAATCAAGTTGCTCGGATAAAAAGAACTTTTATAAAGTTTCCAACTTAGCGTTCACGCTGATTCAATTATTTTCAACTGTCTTCACAACGTACAAAAATTCATGATTCACCCACAATCTCTTACTTTTATATTTTAGTTGGCACGATTAAAAGAGAATTTCTAGTCATTACGCATAATTTTATTGAGAATCAGATAAAGTTAATTTAGCTTTCCAACACCGATAACATCATATAATATATGAATGGCAAGTAGAAATTTGCTAAGATCCTTTGCATCCGATAAATAAAAGAGGATAACGTAATTCCAGCCAGAATTATTCGACATCAAAAAAAGAAAGCTCTTTCTCTCTTATACGATAATAATTGTACGAAACACCTCGCTAAGTAGAGTCGGATCGTGCATGAAATTCCGCGTCGCGACGCGAACATCCCGAGGATAATTACGACAGGCACGCGAAGGGAAGTATGCGAAGCCCGCAGGAACGTTAACAGGAAACAGTAGCGGAAATCGCGACGTCGCACCGATAAATTATCGATGACAAGAGCAACTACTCACTTTCTCGTTCGTAATCTGAAAGGAACGATCTCTGATCCTAACGGCGTACAGTTACCCGTTTGTTTTATCCTTGGCCTCGCTTTTGTCTTCGATTGTCGCAAATAGGTCTCTCGACGAGATTGCCAAAGCCAAAAATTACGCCCTTCAAAGATACAACGAATACACCGCGAACAAATACCTGCTGACCGAGTTTCTTAGCTTTGGCTAATACGCCCCATTTGGCTTGCGTCCTCGCATATGTATATATTTTTTTTCTTTCTCGTTCTCTCTTCGTCTCTCGCGTTCCAGATGATCCGATCAATCGTGACGATGACGATCGATTTCGCGTTTAACAACGAGAACGCTTTCGATCGTTTGCAAGCTCTCCTTTGAACTTGGCTTTCATCCGCTCGTCGACGGCGAGTTCTGAGAGCTGCGACATATCATGTTCACGATGCTTTTCATTCATTATTCATCGCTTCGATGGTTCGAGAGTTTTGATAGTAAGAATTTTCACATTAACCCTTTGACTGCTATCAAAACTTATTACTTAGTTCTTAAAGACTAAAACACGGGTTACTAAAGACTAAACACGGATTAGGAAATTAACCATCACGGAAGTTGTAATATCCTTCTTCGGATTCTCAACCGCACGTGATTTCCTAGGGTTTTATTCGAATAGCATTTTGTCCGATCGGTAAGTGCAAATTTGTCTTAGACCGTAAACCTATGGAGCCAACAACGATGCAGACTGATCGAAACGAAACCAGGACGATTAAATCAAGACCTGCATTGCGAATAAATGAGTCAAGTCTGCTTCGATCGGTTGCGTAACAGTGAACGCACTTTGATAAAAATATTTCGCGGCTTTTCATTTCTTCTATCTATTTAGGTTTTCTTTATTTTTCTTTTTTTGATATCGTCGTGTTCGCGATACGTAACTCTTTCGGACTCCTCTAATAATTTCAAATTTCTCCTTTACCGAATGAAAAAATTCCATCATCCTAGTTTTTACAGTCTGTTTAACTTTTCCATTATTTAGAAATTTGGAAATTTCTAACTTATTGCTCATACGATAATGTAACCGTAACACTCCTTCGTACGAGAGTAAATTTTCGAACGACTAAAACACTCGGGTATAGCAGTTTGTAACGATGAAAGGGTTACTATCAATGAACTTGGTAGAAGTAAACGATTCGAAGAACTGAAGGCATTAATATCGAAAATCAAATTCATTTAATAATTCAGTCATTCATACTCCTCGTTCCCGGGCATAATTCTTTTCTTTTCTTATCTTTTTTCAGCCGGTTCATCTTTCAACCCGAAACCCAGACCCTTCTCCCTCACATTCGCATGAGTCGGTAGCTCTCAGCTGCGCCGTCGTCGTCTTCGTCGTCGTCGTCCTCATCGTCGTCGTTCGTGCTGACATCCGAATCGAAATACATGCGATTATAAATGATTACGTACATATGTATACATATACGATCGACGTTCACGATTTTTCTTTAATCTCGAATGCGAGTCGTCTTCGCGAAGCCTCGCGTTTCGTCGGAATTCCGCTTTCACGCGGCTCTGCGAGATTTCGAGATCGAGAAAGTCGTGAATCGTGAATGATTTTCTCGACAAGTGTTTGGAGAAATGCGAGTGCAGTTACGAAATAAAGCGACCAATTAAGCCGATCAAGCTCTTCTCGATATGCGTGTACCTTTCTTTCCACTTCATATCGCGCTCGTTCGTCGAAACATCGATTAACCCCTTTGCGTCGGAGTCGCGTCTCTCGAATATCGTATATTTGGATGGACTCGAAGCGCTCGGATGCTTAACTCGTTTCTTTTATTTCGATCTATCGTGTCTGACGTTAATTACAATTGATACTTTTGCAGCATCGGTTACGAACGCTCTGAAATACGATACGCAAGTGGTTAACCGTGTTTCCTCGCTACGCTTTCGAGAGGAACTCGAGTTCCCTTTTTCGAGCGATCGACCACCCACCCCATAAATCGTTCGGCGATAAAAGTGATAAAAGAGTGGCAAACGATTCGAACAAGCGCGACTGCTCACTCCTATCGCTCGATTAACGCGTCCGATCGATAACTCCAGCTTCGAGCTTTTTTGCTTTTTTCGCTTTCGCGCGTGCCTCGTTTTGCCGCAGAAACTACCATTTTGATTTTAAGTTGCGCTTCTTTTTTATTTAGCGCCCTGAACGTGCTCGTGATTCGTTTACTCGTTGAAAAGAATAATCGATCGAAAAATGAAAGAATCACGAGCGCGTGCTGTTCAATGCGCTTCTTACTCACAGCTGATTTCTTTGTTCTTTTTTTTCGTTCTTTCTAACACACCTTGCCCAACCGCCTCTGTGTACCAATCGCATGTACCGAATGTTTCGTGTGCACGAATCTGTTTTCCGTTTGCCCGCTTTCGTAACCTCGAATTTCCCATGGAAAACATCCCAGAAACCACCGAGACCCACGAAAAGTCCTACTATTACGAGCTGGTCGATACAAAGACCGAGACCCGTCCGAGTTCCGTCAAAGCCAAAAGCCTCTGTTGGCCACCGCCAAAGCCTATCGAGGACATAACGTATCCCACCGCTAGTCCCTTGTACATCGACCCAAATCCGGTTCTCGACAGAAGAAACGTGCAAGCGGTGAAAGAGAAGAAGGCTTGCATCGAGGCTTGCGAAAGAGCGTTGAGGAGGAGGAGCGAAAGCACCGATCGCGAGGTCGAAAGGGTCAGCAGACAGTGTTACCGTTTCGACGAGGATCCGATGGATCGGGTCAGTTGTCCAGGACCCACTTACAGGAAAGTGGAGCTGGTGGAAACCACCGGCAGACAGTCTAGAAGCGAGGTAACCTCGAGGCCCAGCTCGACCGACAGCGTCAGAAGATCGTTGACGCCTACAAGAATCGTTCAACCAGTGCCCAAACCATGGACAGCCACTGTGACGACCGGAAGTAATCTGTACGAGCAAAGTTACGGTGGAACGGAACCACCGAAGGTCTGCAAGAAGTTCCATCAGAAGGAAATCTGTCAACGGGAAAAGATCTGCGAGAGGAACCAACCGTTCCGGGAGGAACATCGTTCGTACCGCTCCGAATACTGTCGAACGGAACAAACGGTCTGCGAGAAACCACCGCTTCCGGTTCAACACACGGTTAAGCAGCAGGAGACCAAGGAAGAGATCAGAGAAGTCGACGAGGAGGTGACCGACTTGAGACCGGCCGACGAGATCGAAGACGACGACGATGGCAAAATCAGAGGCGAACACGATTTCGTTACGGAAATTTCCGAGGAAGACGTGGACGGAATGCACGTTAAGAAGAAGATGACGCTCGAGAAGACCATCGAGAAGATTCCGTCGCCCGCGCGACCCAGCACGCCGATGATAGAGGAGCCCGTCGAGCAGGCAACGGAGCAAACCGAAGAGACCTATTCGAGAAAGACTGCCACGCACATCGAGAGAGAAGTCGAAGATACCGAAGAGAAGACGGTCGTCGAGTCCGCGGAAGTGGTCACCTCGGCGGTGGACGTTCAGCAGCTGGTAGAAAAGGCCAAACAGGAGGAAGAGGAGCGGAAGAGAGAGGAAGAAGAGGAGGAAAGACGAAAACAAGAAGAGGAAGAGAGGAAAAAACGAGAAGAAGAAGAACAAAGACGACGACGTGCCGAAGAGGAGGAACGAAGGAGGCAGGAGGAAGAGGAACGCAGCAAACACGTGACTTTCGACGAAGAAGTCGAGGAGGTTAGGGAACATCCGCTAGGAAGAACCGTGGTCCGCGAGGAGAGAGTGACGGAAGCCGAAAGCGACACGCCCGGACGCAAGAAACTGATCAAAGAGACATACGAGGAGATCACGGAGGAGGTGTTGGTCCAGGAACGCGTCAGAAGGAAAGAAATCGAGGACGAACGCAGGAAGAGCTTGAGAGAACAGGTAGAAGTCCATCAAAGTTTGAGAGATCAGCAAGCGCCCAAAGATCGACGCGTGTGTTCGAAATATCCGCCGGCACAGGAAGTAATGGAGACGAACAAGAAACGAGTGCAATTCGTGAAGCAGACTGACTCTGGTCCGAAACCCATACCGCACTCTGCTCTTCAGAACTCCACTCCCAAAGAGTGGAAGTCCGAAATGGTGAACGCCTTGACCACGGCGCCTGATCGACCTTTCACTCCCGTCAGCACCTCTACGAGCGTCAGAGAAGTTTTCACGGAAGAGACGATATACTTGGATCACAGATGTCGACCGAAACCACCGCCAGAGCCGATACGACCCATTTCGCCGTTCCAGGAGGCGCTCACGATCGCCCCGGAGCGTCCTTACACCCCTCTCAGTCGCGAAATTGGTCCGGACGACAGGAACGTCGGTAGTCGATCTCAGACTCCCAGTCTTCAGGACGGAGGCAAATACCCGCCACCAGCCGGTATCCTTTACGGCGAGAGGAGCCCGTCGAGCAGGCAACGGAGCAAACCGAAGAGACCTATTCGAGAAAGACTGCCACGCACATCGAGAGAGAAGTCGAAGATACCGAAGAGAAGACGGTCGTCGAGTCCGCGGAAGTGGTCACCTCGGCGGTGGACGTTCAGCAGCTGGTAGAAAAGGCCAAACAGGAGGAAGAGGAGCGGAAGAGAGAGGAAGAAGAGGAGGAAAGACGAAAACAAGAAGAGGAAGAGAGGAAAAAACGAGAAGAAGAAGAACAAAGACGACGACGTGCCGAAGAGGAGGAACGAAGGAGGCAGGAGGAAGAGGAACGCAGCAAACACGTGACTTTCGACGAAGAAGTCGAGGAGGTTAGGGAACATCCGCTAGGAAGAACCGTGGTCCGCGAGGAGAGAGTGACGGAAGCCGAAAGCGACACGCCCGGACGCAAGAAACTGATCAAAGAGACATACGAGGAGATCACGGAGGAGGTGTTGGTCCAGGAACGCGTCAGAAGGAAAGAAATCGAGGACGAACGCAGGAAGAGCTTGAGAGAACAGGTAGAAGTCCATCAAAGTTTGAGAGATCAGCAAGCGCCCAAAGATCGACGCGTGTGTTCGAAATATCCGCCGGCACAGGAAGTAATGGAGACGAACAAGAAACGAGTGCAATTCGTGAAGCAGACTGACTCTGGTCCGAAACCCATACCGCACTCTGCTCTTCAGAACTCCACTCCCAAAGAGTGGAAGTCCGAAATGGTGAACGCCTTGACCACGGCGCCTGATCGACCTTTCACTCCCGTCAGCACCTCTACGAGCGTCAGAGAAGTTTTCACGGAAGAGACGATATACTTGGATCACAGATGTCGACCGAAACCACCGCCAGAGCCGATACGACCCATTTCGCCGTTCCAGGAGGCGCTCACGATCGCCCCGGAGCGTCCTTACACCCCTCTCAGTCGCGAAATTGGTCCGGACGACAGGAACGTCGGTAGTCGATCTCAGACTCCCAGTCTTCAGGACGGAGGCAAATACCCGCCACCAGCCGGTATCCTTTACGGCGAAACCAGACCCAAAGAAATCCCACCGTCTCCTAAACCCTGCACTCCGCGGCCATTGCCGACTCCGCCGCCAGACTTCAAACTGAGGGACAGGTCCGCGTCGCCCGTGAGGTCTCGTCCTCAAACTCCCTGCAGCAAGGGTATAACTGCCACTCTGAAGAAACCCGACACCATACCTTCTTATCAGAGATACCTGGTAGCCACGAGGAGGGACGCGGTCGAGAGTCAAACCTACGTACCGAGTAGAACACCGACGCCTACCCCGGCAAGATCGAAGTCGCCCGCTCACGGACCACCGGAACCTCCGTCTTGCTACACGCCCCGTGCCCATGCCCCGAGAATCAGGGACGATCCTCCCGCGAAACATAGCTCTATACACTTCCCGACGAAGAAGAGCGTCTCTTACAAGGTCGAGGAGGACACGGACGAAGGGCATAGAAAGGCGGAGTACGCGGCTAGCAAGACCGTCGACTTCGACGAGAAACGAACCGACGATCCGGGCAGAGAACCCACGGACGCGGTGCACGCTCAATACCAAGAGAAGCGATACATGACCAGCGAGGAAACCAACGAACAGAAGCTCTCGTTGACGAAGAGATCGCTCGAGGTTACCGAAGACTTCGAGAGGTGCGAGAGAAGGGTGCCGGCCAGGCCCCTGCCCGAACCTCGGCAGAAATCGTTGTCCACGGAAGACTCGTCGAAAGGTTCGTGCGCTATAGGCAGAACGAGTCCTTGCAAATTGACTCTGCCGTGCCCTTTGTCCGACAAAGAGAAGAGTTCCAGTGCGCAACCGGTGTACACCAGCTCGACGGAAGTGCGTCACGTGAGCTACGGTGCTCCTCCGTGCAAACCATGCCCGGACACGGGGCTGACGGTGTTACCGTGCAAAGCCCACTCCGATCAGGGCACCAAGGCGGGCGTCGTGGTGGTACCTTGCGAAGGGCCTAGACCCTGTTGCCAACAGTCGGGCGTCTGCGTTGTCCCGACGGCGGATCGTTCGGGAGTCTGCGTGTCTCCTTGCCCGGGCATGCAATCCGGAAGCTGTGGTCAGCCGGAAGGACGCTGCGGTCGAGAATCAGCCTGCGAGATCGAGATTCCTTCGGGATGCCCGGACTCCGGGGTCTGCGTAGCGCCTTGCGGCGACGGTTCCGTCTGCGTGGCACCCTGCACCAAGCCTGGACTACCGCCGTCGATGTCGAAGCTTCCTTTCCCTCAGATCCCGTTCCCGTACGAGAGCCCGTCCCCCTCGCCTTGCAAAAGCTCTTTCGAACCTATTCACAAGCCTCGCACTAACTTGAGTGGGCAGCTCGCGCGACTCACCGCTAAAACCGGTCGCAACGCACCTACTGTTCAGTTGTACAAACCCCAAGCTCAAACAGAATCGCAGGCTTGTTGCGAGAGCAAAAGTTTTTGTAGCAAAACCCAATGTTACCGATCCACCGAAACTCGTTGTCAGACGAGTGGTCAATGTTCGATCAACACCCGCTGTCGAACCGGGAATCAATGTGAGACCCAGAATCACTGTCAGGACGGTATCCATTGTTCCCCGTCTAGTACTGCCCAGAGTTTAGTAGACCCACCAAATTTGTCATCCCACCCGGATCTAGGTACCGGAATCGGTGGTCTCGGTGGTGCCGGCTCGAAGAGCGGATCTTTCGCTGGTAGCAGCGCACCGAAACGTGGACGGGGAATACTCAATCAAGCTACTGGACCGGGATTACGGTTACCCCTCTGCGCCCATTGCAACTCATACGTCAGGTACTCATCGGTACTTTGCGAGTCAGTGTTGTTTGCTTCTTTTTTTTATCCTCCTTCTTGCCTGAGAGGTCCAAACCGTCATTTTCTTTGTCCCGTTATTTGTGTGGCTAGGCAGGAGTTTTGTTTGTGCATCGTTTGTGTTGGGTTCGTCTGTTCGGTTGAAAAATTACGTGTTCGATTAAATTGCATTTCAGGAATACTTACTTAATGTATATTTTTTTTTATTTTTACTTAACTCTGCGGCGGTCGTGGCCGATTTAACGAACCGCGGCCTCCACAGAGGTAACAGCGATCTTGTTGTGACTGTGATTAACAGTGTCCACTTGTTTGCACGATGTTAACAGCTAACGAAGAAAATACTAATCACAAATCGAACGGTCTCGTGGTAAAACCGGCGTGCTGTAAAAACAACAAAGAGTGTATAAGGTTGGTAATGGCAAGTAAATTTTACAGTTGCCTGTCATGTCACGCTTTGCTTTTTCGTGTCCCATTATTCGTATAAATCCACGTTCACGAAGGGTAACCGCAATCGTTTAGGGGACCTTTCATCACCGCTTTGGGACAAATTTGGTGCCCTGATCACTTCGTGTGCGTGAACACTCAATGTCGTCGACCTCTTCAAGATATCGGTTTCGTCGAGGAGAAGGGGCAACTCTATTGCGAATATTGCTTCGAACGTTTCATCGCTCCAAGTTGCAACAAATGCAACAACAAGATCAAAGGCGTAAGTATCCGATTACGGACTGGTAATCTCTCCGACACGCCTCTCTACTAACACGATGTTCTTACTTCAGGATTGTCTGAACGCGATTGGAAAGCATTTCCACCCTGAATGCTTCAAATGTTCCTATTGCGGCAAGCTTTTCGGCAACAGCCCGTTCTTCCTCGAAGAAGGACTACCCTACTGTGAAGCTGGTTAGTACAGATTTCTTTATATTTGTAAATTTTTATTTACGTTTATTAATATTTGTTTATTACTTTGGTACACAGATTGGAACGAGCTGTTCACAACAAAATGTTTCGCGTGTGGATTCCCGGTGGAAGCTGGAGATCGCTGGGTAGAAGCTCTTAACAACAACTACCACAGTCAGTGTTTCAACTGCACGGTATGTACTTGTTATTAATTTCAAATAATTATAAAGTCGATATAGATCCTTTGTAGACTTCTATATTGTTACGATATATGTTGCAGATGTGTAAGAAAAACCTGGAAGGACAGAGTTTCTACGCGAAGGGCGGTCGTCCCTTCTGTAAAAATCACGCGCGTTAAAACCTCTCCAATCTTTCATCCTAATGAACGAAAGAAGAAAAGGCGGAGAATAGAAGAAAGGGTCAAAAGAAAAAAGAATAGGAAAAGTCGAAAAAAAAAATAATTAACTTTACCAGCACGAATTATTTCTTGTTCTTATCGTACACTTTCGGTCGACGACAATTAGAGAGCAAACGACGCCGAATAATCATAGAACGATTACGAACGAATTAATTATAGTCGCTCCTGCAACAATTCAGAGTCGATCGAAGATAAAACAAAGTGTCCTTCGTACTTTAAGGATCGCAGCTCCGGAACGATCGCGTTTCTTCGGATTTCCGTGCCTCCAGCTTTTACGATAATTCCGTTTAAAAGCGGTAATTGTTCGACCGAATTCAAAACGACAATTGACAAATGCATGGCAAAATATTGACTAACCGGTTCAACCAGAAAGGTAATGCTTATTTACATGAATTAGCAATTAATTTCCAACGAGGAAATAAGGTCACGTAACTCGCAAACTTTAAAAGTTCGAGTTAGATTTCAGACTTTCACATCGAACATTTTTATTTTACGCTATCTTGATTCGTTGAGTTTCGGTTCTAAAAATGACCTTTAACGGGAATATTCCCTAAAAATAACTTCTCGAAAATGCATAAACGTATACAAAGTTCTCTCGCTTTCGTGTCGACATTTCATGGTTAATCGTTGGGTTAGAGCAACCATAAAATGTCAGTGGGAACTATGTTCATTGCCTTGCAATTTGGTATCTGTGACAAGTATTAGCGTTTCCGGTGGCTTCGAATACCTAGCGTAATCGTTACCGCAGAAAATTCTGCAACGAACGCGCATCAGCTTGGTCTCCTGTTTTTGAATCACGCAAAGGTCACGCGAGCAATTAGTATTACGGATATTATCACATATTTCATACTATCAAGGTACACGGTGATCGCGTCGTTACGAAAATGGCTGCCTCCTTGGAGATTCGAAGGAAACTGACCCGAGTTTCGATAAAAATTCCGACGAAAGACGCTCGAGATATTTCGAGCGTTGTTCGTTCGATCGAACATTCGGGTTTTACTAGTCAATCATCGATAATGCTCGAAAGTGCTGATCTACGAATTCGAGAGAACGCGTGAGCGCAGGAAATAAAAGAAAAAACGATGAATAGGATATAATTCTATGCACGCGGATCATCGATTAACTCGATAGCTTTAACCCTCTAATACGGGACTCCCAAACTTTCGTGGATGAAAGTTTTCAAAGCTGTAATATTTCGAACATCCTAAAATTCCGAAGCAATAAGCCTCGAAATCACGAAAATTCAAAGTTTCAAAATTGCACACTGCTAAAGTTGCGAATTGTTCGGGATTCCCATTAAGTAGGTTAGAGGGTTAACGAATTAAAAAGAGAACTAGAGTCCTCGTTAATCATTCGACGTAACTTATTTTACCCTGAAATCAGGCCGATTCAAGACGACCGCGGGATAACCGCGTTTCGGATCGTACGTAAGTTTCCGCAAAGCCGGATAAAAATCCTATCGCGACGAAAAGAAAAAAGAAAATCTCTACACGCTGGTACGTTGAAACTTGAATCGTTTTAAACTGCCTCGTTTTCAGGGTACACGATGATAAAAAGTGATGAACGAGTTTCTTAACTCGTACTCGATAGCAGTTGCCATATTATCATTTTAGACAATGTTACCGATTTTTCTGTGCCATCGTCGTGGGCTCGTGTCAAAAGCTTGCGAATCGAAGGGCGATATATTTAAATGTACGTTGTATAGTTTAGTAAGTAACGAGAGAGAAAATGAAAACGATATATCGAAGAATTCATTTGATCGAAATTAAGTCGATTTCTTTCAACAGCGTTAGACATTGCTATTCGAACGTCGAAGATGCAATGTCGCGATTAGAATTAATACTAATTAGATCGACTGCTGGCTGAATATCGCACGAGCCTTTGTATCCGTGTTACGTGTTGCTTACAATAAAATAAAATAAAATCAAAAGTTCACGATACATTTTGTTCGAGTAAATACCTGGACCTCCGCGTCACAATAATATCTATGTTAATTATCTTTATTTCTACTAAACAGTCTACCCGTTACTTCGAAGAAACAAAGAAGCATTTCGATAGCGAATAAACGATTTCAGGTGTGCAAAAGTTTGAATCGTGTATGATAGGCAAAGATCCGGAAACGCATGGAGGTTCGGTCATAAACCATTTTCGTCTCTAACGAGGAAGCAACTCTCTCGTAAGGGACGTTTCATCGATTTATCGTTTAAAGTAACCTTGCGGTACCTCCTTCTACGAACACCGACACGCGACAGACATTTTTCTGACGGATTCTTTTTGTCGCAATAGATACGTCATCAACGCGAACTTCAATGAACCTACACGTACGTCGAACAGCCGTATATTTAGCAGATTGAACGAATTCACGAAAGTTTAAGTGTTATACCAGGTGGTGCGCTTAGAACTCTACACCCTCTTCGAGTCAAGGTTATCAAGGTACCCTACCGTTGCAATTTCTTTACGATTAAACGTCGATCTAACGCGTAATATTCACGATTCGTCGTTCATCCGAGATCTAAATAAAAATTCGATACAACCCTCGTTAACGAAAGTGGCTCATTTTTAAGGAAAGTCATTTTATCTGAAATTAATGTTAATGTTAAAATACTGAGTAGTATTTTGAAGTTGTAGAAAAATATGATAAAGTAGAATAATGATGGATCGTATAAAACCGCAATTAGCTAAAGTGTCGCGTGTTCGAGATAACGATTTACAGAGGAGCGCCATTCAAATTCTTTTAGAAGCTTCTAACGAGACTTCCGGTGTCCTTGCGGTGTCGCGGTGTCCACCGAAAGCTCATAAAAGCTGGAAACCAACAAGGAATCCAGCACACGAGTAACTTGCGCACCTGAGACCAGGTCAAAGCGATTGCGTACACCGAAACGTGGCCGTGCACCAGTGAGAATCGAGATATCGGCTCGCTTACATGCCATTCCATCGAAATATTTGAATACCGAACACTCGATTCCTCGGTAAAAATGTCAATTTATCGCTTAAATCGTATCGTTTATCGGAAGAACGGGAATTAACGAATTGTAAACATGTTCATTAACGCGACCGCTTCTCTAAATCGACACAGAACATTGTTTAAGGATTTGTGAATGAAAAGTTGAAGATGTGACCGAATACGGAAATATATTTCCTTTAAGAGGTGAGTAACTTTTCTAAAAACTTCCAAGTTATTAACAAATACGGTGGATGCAAAAAATAATTAACTATTTTATGTTAATTTTAAAGATTCTCGGAATCGTGTGATAATGTTACGTATTTTCGTTTAGAAAGAAAGAAGAGTGCTCGACAATCATCCGAACAATGATCCGCTAACAGAATTTATCTTCCCCGATTTTATTAAAATACAATGTTTCGGTATGGCAGTGAAATATTTGGACGGACCGTTCATGTTCAGACTAAACGACAATGGTACAGGTCCGCATCTTCTCATGCAGGTATAAATTATTCAAATAAAATTAACAGAGATACAACGATGTTTTCGAGACACCCTGTGGATCCAGTGTGTACATAAATGGTCGGTTCGTTCCGTCACGCTTTTATGTCGCTCGAAATTTTGTTCGTCACGGTTACAAACTTAGCCCCTGCCCTTGAACTGAATACTTTTCAAGGTACATACATACGTAAAGTTCAACCTGGATGCGACGCGCTTTTGCGTGCACCACTTTTAGAAGCGCAATGGCTATTAACTAAGCGCGACATGCGATAATAAAAAAAGCCCGTACAGAACAGTCAAAGATCATTCTAATTTACGCTAATCTAAATCTTCTTGCTAACAGAATTGCTGTGCGCGAAAATTAAATGAATTTCACTGACAAAGAGATTGGGTCTTGCATCGATATCGAAAGTTTAAAAATCCACTGTAGGAATCTTTGATCCAGGGTGTAAGAACGAGGCGCGAACGCGATCGTCGACCTTTCGGATTGATTGAGAAGTTTTAAGAAAACGTTGCGCGGCAATTACAGGCGAACGATGAAAGTAGGCTGCGATAAAAGGAAATCCACTCGAATTTAATTGTAATTAAAGACCTTGGCTCGCTTTTGATATCAGAAGCAAAGCATTCCTAATACTCGGATAACACGAGAAATAAATCAAGGGCGTTCTACGCTATTTTCGCGTGCACCTTCGAAACTTTACGAATCGTTGAATGCGTAATATTCCGAGTTAATAGATGCTCCGTAACGTGTTTCGCGAAAATCCGAACGCAGTTAAAATGATAAATCCTCTTCGTACGTCGATTCTTTAAACGATCGTTTTGCAGGAAGGTTGTTACATTTTTCACAGGTTTGCACGGAGCGTGGTTGGAGGGAATACACTGGCGAGAATAATGTATTCAGAGATCGATGGAATTTATGGTGGAAGTCCGGTGGCTTCCCTTTGCCTTATTACAAGCCGCTACTGCCATGGCAGGTTACGATGCATCCAGTTTTACTCTTCAAATTTTCTTTTTTCATTTATTCTTTCTACTCTTTGCGTATCGAAAACGAGGGTAAAAATGAAAAATGATCAAAGACTTGTGTTATAGTTCATTAATAGAATACCGAAAGGGGGTTCCATCTGTAGGAAAGATAATCTTATACGCCACTTACGATGTATGAAGAAGATGCATGGATCCATCTACGACTTCAGGTATAATCCAGAAAATGTTAGCTGACTACCAAAATTACTACTAGCATTATAAAATGTAGCTTATGCTTATCAAAAATACAATGCATCGCATTAGCCCCCCAGGATACAATTTGCCATCGGAGTACACTAAGTTGGCCGAAGAGTGCAGTCGCTGCGAGGACAACAAAGTTTGGATCTGCAAGCCGGTTGGTCAAAGTCAAGGCAAAGGGATCTTCCTGTTTCGCGTATGCACTTTATAGATGAACGTTAACCGCATCGTCAAGGTATCCAACGCGTAATAACGATGTTTACAGAAATTAAGCGACCTCATGTACGATAGCACAACGGTGGTACAGAGATACATTGAGAATCCTCTTTTAATCGGAGGCTACAAGTTCGACCTACGATTGTACGTGTGTGTCCCTTCGTATCATCCTTTGGTAATATATTTATACAAGGAAGGCTTGGCACGATTCGCCACGGAGAAATTTTCTTTGGAACACCTGAACGATCCTTTTCGTCATCTGACCAACTTTTCTCTGAACAAATTGGGTCCAGGCTACTCGGAAAAGAAGGAGCGAATTGGTTCCGGTAACGAAGAATTATCGCTAACAATTTTTCTAAATTCTAGATTGAATATCATTGATATATTTGTTAGGCTGCAAATGGACTTTCAGACAATTAAGAAGGTATTTCGAACAAACTGGATACTACGACTGGTTTCTCTGGCAGAGAATCGCCTGTTTAATCAGCTTAACGATATTGAGCCAGGCTGCTGGTATTCCAAAATCTTCTAATTGCTTCGAATTCTTTGGGTTTGATGTATTAATTGACAAAAATTTAAAGCCATGGTTGTTGGAGGTGAATAAATATTTGTTGCCTCAAGTGACCATTGGTATTCGTTAAAAATTTCGAAAAGGTTCTATTGTTATAGAAAAATTTTGGAAAATTAATATTTCTACAGGTTAATCTTAGTCCAGCTTTGAGCAACGATTGCGAAATCGATTCGGAAGTGAAGAAACCTTTGTTGCACGACTTGTTCGATTTGTTAGGTCTTCCTGTATGCAACACTGGACTCTCCCTTTTCACGATATGGTCGACAAACCCTATTGACGATGATGAAGCGTCTTCCAAATTTCGAACCACCAAGAAAAAACCGAAAAGTAGCCAAGACACCGATGGCTTCTTAAACCTGTGCACTGAACTTCAACCTACTGTATGTAAAAAAGTATAATCCTGGGAAAGCACTTGCTTAAGATATACATAGCAAAGCGTGTCTTTAATTTCAGCTTAGACAATCAACCACGAACGACTCCAATTCATGGTCTCGTTATAATCCCTTGCTAGTGGATAAGTATATTCCACGCGGTTTTCGAGGTACCAATTCAATTAATCATGATAAAACGTCCGTGTGGGACAACGGCAAAAATTGGAGCACGCCATGCGCGAAGGAAGGAGGATGGGTTCGCATTTATCCAGTTACTCCGTTAATACCTGACAATACTATGGACTGTGTATCATCGTCCTTATCGGAAGATTCGCGGGTTGTGGAAAAGCAGATAAAAAATACAGTTCTTTGTATACACAAGTAACTATCTAACAACGTTTAACTGATAAACGTGTACAAGAATCATTGGTGTTTATCAATGACTTTTTGCAGATACTTGAAAGCTGCGAAAGAAATATACAAGAAGAATGAAAAATATAGAGACGAACAGTGTAACGCTTTGCTACGAAAAACACTGGAATTAAATACTGAAATTTGGCTGCCACCTAAATAATTAAGTGCAATATTGGTATTCTTTAATATACCCGTTAATTTTTCAAGCGAATTAGCGCTATACACTTTGACCAATTTATTTATACGTGATAATCTGATCTCTTAATCTTTCCAATACTGCTATATTCAAAATGCAATTTTATTAATTAGAGTATTCGTAATATTTTTGATAGGATATTAGATTTTTCAATCGTGTTTTAAATGTTAGATAATATTAGATAGGTTTCATTAAAAACCTTAATAAATTGAGTATTTGAACTCTTTTCTCTTTTCTATAATATGCTTTAATATAAAATATCGTAAAAAATTGACGAGCAGAAATGAAGAACATCATTATCGACCAAGAAATTCTCGGTTTATTGAACGTTTTCTTGAAAATTTACATTAATTCACTCCTTTCGCTGCTAACCTCTTGTCGCGTTCTTCGGCGATCGAAAGCTTAACACCTTTGTCTCTTGGTAAGCTTATGTACGGCTTTGTACCCTTACCGATGATAAATACATTGTTCAACCTAAACAAATAATTCATTGTAAGCGGTCATCGTAAAAAAATAAAATTTAGCATTAATTTTGTCTCCAACATAGGTAATACTGTAAAACCTATGCAAAGGTAATCAGTGACCATCATGAAGGAATTTAATTTGGGCCAAATTTGATCACAATATCTATTAAAATATATTGTAACTTCGATTATGGCCACTAGAAAAATTAACTTCATCTATTTTGAAAAATTCGAATCAATGTGTTATATATATTTACATATTGAAATAAAAAGTTCGACGAAGAAAAGATATATTTGAAATATTATCAAATACCTTGTAGCAAAAGTATGTCCTTGTGAATCCTTAATATGACAAATATCAAAAGATCCTGGATGACGCTCACGACTGACAACTGTACCAACACGCCCTAAATTTCTTCCTCCAGTAATCATACAAAGATTACCTAAACAATAAACATTGATTATTAAATCTTACATACACGTATATACTTAAATTGTAAATAAAAATATATTACCTGAATCAAATCGTATGAAGTCCAAGATTGTACCAGTTGCTATATCCAAATGAATGGTGTCATTAACCTTGATTAAGGGATCAGGGTAACGAATGGTTCTTCCGTCGTGTGTTACCAAGAATGGAATACCTTTTGGTCCAGTCTGAACACGTTTTACTTTGCACAACTTATACTGTAACAGAAACAGTTATTTAACAACAATGTTATTTTTATTTATTTATTAACAAATGATAAGTACCTTAGCCTCTTCTGCAGTAATTCTGTGCGTGGTAAAACGTCCTTTAACGTCATAAATTAGTCGGAAAAATTCACCAGTCTTGTTGATCGTAATGACATCTAACACCAAAAAAATAGAAATAACATTAATTGCGGCTCTTAATAATTAAAAAAAGGAAAATAATAGTTTTATAATTAACAAAATTGTACACTTTTTTGGTAATACAGAAAGAAATCTTATTCAGCCTGTGACCGTGTCAAAGAGCTTTTATTTACTATAGGCCAATTTATGACTATAATACTTTTTTTGAATAAGAATTACAGCTTCGATATGGCCATATAACATAGTTAAACATTTAATATTCTTACCCATGAAACCTGCAGGATAGTTTGGATCTGTACGTACTTTCCCATCAACTTTAATTAAACGTTGCATCACAATTTTGGTTACTTCACAATTAGTCAATGCATATTTTAGTCTGTTACGAAGGAAAATAACAAGAGGAAGAGATTCCCTTAATTTATGGGGTCCAGTAGATGGTCGTGGAGCATATACACCACCCAATTTATCTAACATCCATGCTTTAGGCGCGTTAAGACGCTTCAAATGCTTCTTCGGTCCACGAGCCTTAAAACAAGTTTCAAATATTTATACATAATATAAAGCAAACACAAATACTTCACAGATTTCACGTCAAAAACTTCACTCTTTTTTAGGTTAGGTTACTAACTACTAATTTTCTTTTACTTTCTAATTATATTATAATCTTAACAAAATGCAGTTATAACTTGTATCGTATCACAAACTAATTTTAAAATGTAGATATTAACAAATATTTACATATAAAGAAATGATCTGCGCTTGCACATTCTAACCATAATTCTATCATTTGTAAATATAAGAGAAATAATGAATTATATGTGTAACGATATTCGTTTTAGATCTTGTAGGTTGCATTTTAAGCAATTATTCAAAGGTACAATGCACTGTATACGCGATGTAAGTGGATTTTATATCGACAACGCACTCCTGACTTACCATCTTGGTTTTCTAAGCGGAAAAGGCACGTTCACGCGTTGTTCCTACACACATCAGGAAACACCTCACAACTACAACGCCATTATTATAATTTTCAAAATGGCGGTAGGTAGTTGTTAGCGTTCTAAAGTTGAAATTGTTATATATGACTTGTAATTTCAAATTATCTATCAAATTTTATAATATATAGGTAAATAAGACTTAGGTCTTTTTCAAGTAAGCAACTTTTAATAACAGGTAGAATTACTTTAATACATAGAATTGGTATAAAGGAACAAATAAATAACCTATTTCAATGCGTATGTCAAATGTAATTTATTGAATTTTCGTTTTAGTACATTTAACTTTATAAATTGATAACAATATAAACGGTACTACATAAAATATAAACATTTTATTATTATTATATTAAAGTGATATAAAATTTGAATGCCAACTTTTCAACTACTAGTTGGACTTTAGTACTCCAACAATGTCATCCAATAAAGAGGATGCACCAATTCTAAATAAGTTTTTGGTTAACCATTCTTCTCCTAATTCTGTCTGAACTAACATCATCCATTCCAAAGCTTCTTGTGAAGTTTTAATACCACCAGCAGGTTTGAAACCAACCTAAATGAAACACATTGTGATAGTGACTATGGAACAAACATAACATATTCTATGTTTAATTTAATATAATTGCATACCTTTTTGTTGGTAGATTCATAATAATTTTTTATTGCATGGCACATAACTATTCCAACTGGTAAAGTAGCATTTACTGTTTCCTTTCCAGTAGATGTTTTAATAAAATCTGCACCAGCCTTCATTGCTATTAAGGATGCTTTGTATACATTATTCAAATTTTGTAATTCTCCAGTGGAAAGTATTACTTTTAGGACTTTGTTGCCACAGGCAACACGAAATGATTTCAATTCTTCATATAATTTGTGCCACTGCTGTGTTAAAACTAATGGTCGATTGATAACAATATCAACTTCATCAGCTCCAAGCTCAATATCTATTTCCACTTCACGTAGTCGAGTTTCTAGTGGAAATTGCCCAGATGGAAATCCACCACCCACTGTTTGCAAAACATTAATAATCAATATGCTATATTAATTGTAATGTGACTAAAAAAAAAATCATATCACTAACCAGTGTCCCTATTAATCTTATGCTCTTTATCAAGTTTTGCCATTGTAGCTATTAACTCTGGAAGTCTTAATGGATAGACACATACAGATGCAGTATTTACAGGTGAATTAGATTGTAGCTGAAGAGGATTTACTGCCTGAAATTATTCAGTTTAATTATTATTTAAACACACTTTGTATTGTGAAGATTTTGAGTAGATAACAAAACCCTTGGTACCTTTGCACATATAGCTTCAACTGTATCAAGTGTATCATCAGCTCCTAAAGTAGTTAAATCTATAAAACCTATTGCTTTCATTAACCAAGCAGTTTTCTTATTAGCATCTAATGCATTAACTTTAGAACGTATAGAACTAATTTTCTCATCCAAAACTGATTGGTCAAAATTAACATTATCTGAAAAGAAAAAAAGACGTGTAATAATTAAAAATATACTCATAAATACAATCTGATTTAGCATCTTATAATTTATCGAGGATAATGTACAACTGTTAAATACATACCGTTAAATAATTTCTGAAAATCCATGTTACTGCTTTTAAAATTTTTCGAAAATAAATTGGCCGTATTTTATATTGTTACCTCGAGAGGAAAACGCAAAGAAGTGCGCAAAGATAAAATGAAGTAATACGATTGCCCTAAACGTATAAAAGATATCATTTAAATATATTTGTTAAGAATTGATAACAACGGTACGGTTCATGATCCGTGATTATTTTCGCGTGATAGGACGCAGCGGTAAAAGTTTACTTGTGATTAAATAAACATTTGTATCAATGTGTCCACAGATCACTTATATACATATGTCTATATAGATCTTATGGAATTTCTTCTACTTTCCCCCCATTATCACAATTCATCAACCAACTTGAGCGATATCCGGATGGCTGTATATCAATCCCTTCATTATCAACAATATTTGAAAGGACTGGGTTTTGAAATCGAAATGTGTAGGATAGTCCATTAAATACCGATACCATTGAAAAGATTATTTTTGGAGAAAACTCCGAAAGACCGTCGAACGAACATTTTTTGCCATTCCTATATCATTCCCTATATTATCGGCGTGATACAGTATAGCGTGTGAATTGTTCCGAACTCATAATCCATATCTTCAGACCCACGGAATATATTGCAAACAGCATAAAATCAATATTAATAAATATATGATAAATATATAGCATAGTAGTCAATAAAATCATTATTAATTGAATTTTTACGAAAATGGAACCAATGGCACCATCTCTCTGGCAAACACAGTAAAGATGTGCCATCTAGCGAAGAAAGTGTAATCATAGACTACAAAACACTGTTACTATCTAGCATTAAAAAGTTCGAACTAAATGTGTTTACCGACTTTGTGCAGTTGGTAATGTTCAACCCAACTCCAACCCCAACGTAACTCTGATCCCATGGAAACAGGCAAGGCAACTTAACTCTAACCCGACTCTAACCCGATTTGGACCCTCGATGGAAACGTAGTCTATGTCGATATACAAGTAATCCGTCGCTAAAACTTCTACGGTATTTCTAATTATGAATATTGACATTTTGATGTAGATTGTGTATGCTTCGGTTCGTACGATACGTAAATAACATTATTACTTGCGAAGCAATTTCATGCTACTCGATTGATACGTAATAAACTGATCCAGAATGTTTGGAAAATATGGCACAGTATTTGTGTTTTAAAAAGTATTAAATTATTCACGGTGATTTATATTGAGAATTGAATGATTTTATATCACAGGTATTGAACAATATCGACATTGTTTGTTGTATACAGCATTTAAACTAATTGTTTATTTTAGTAACTAATAATTTTTGTTAGATTTTATATGATTTCAATTCTTTTCATGAACAAAGTAATTAAACATGTCAACATTGGAAGATAAAATTTTGGGAGAAAAATTACACTATTATTGTAGTAGTTCCAGTGAAGACGAAGAAAATGATTCAGTAGATTCGGATAAAGATGTAGATGATGAAAGATATCAAAGAGTAATTACAGATACTATAGAACCATCCTTCTCAGAATGGGATGGAACTTCCAGAAACACTGGCCCAAAGGGTGTTATAAAAGTAAAGTATTTTAAACATTTTGCATCATAAGTTATATCATATTTAACTTTGCTTTGTACATGTCTTAAGGATTGGCAACGATATAAACAACTGCAAGTAGAAAAAAGAGAAGAAGAAGCAAAGGAACAGCTTGAATTAATAAACAAATTAATTTTAACATGCCGTAGTTCTTTGGACGAAGAAAAAGAAAAAATTATGCAAACTGATCCAGATCTTGCTGAATTATTATCTGATGAATCCCTGTTAGATTATCAGAGACAAAGAATGAAAGAAATGCTTGCAAGATCTGAAAAACTACGCTTTGGCAAAGTTATTTATCTAGAAACAGCAGACCAATTTTTAGAAGCAATCGATAACGAAGACAAATCTGTGACAATTGTTGTTCACATTTATGAAAACAATGTCCCTGGCTGTGAAGCTATGAATGGATCTTTAATATCTCTTGCAGAAGATTATCCATTTGTAAAATTTTGTAAAATTTTAGGTTTGTACTTTGAATTTTATATTATTCCATGCTTATGGCATTTAAGTTGCAGGGTATATTATAAATTTGATTCCATACTTATTATTATAGGTTCAGTAGCTGGACTGAGTAAACACTTTAAGAAAGAAGGGGTACCAGCTTTATTAGTTTATAAAACAGGTCAAGTAATAGGAAACTTTGTTCATATAACTGACGATTTAGGCGTAGACTTTTACGCATCCGATGTCGAAGCTTTTTTGATCGAACACGGAATGCTTACTGATAAGAACTGTGTACCTGCAATCATCTCGTATTCTCAGAATGAGAATATATTATCAGATAGCGAATAAATAAAACACATAAATTGTTTGTAATAATTTCATTAAAAACATTTCATTAATAGAAAGAATACATTTCCTTAGACATGTTCATAGAACATTCAACTTTACTACAATTTAAAAATGTTTTTTAATAGAAATAAATCTATATAAACGCTGTAAATATTTATATTCACTTGAATAAAAACATATATGTATATGTAAGTACTTAAAAGATAAATTTATTTCTAAAGTTATGATCAATTTAAAGTTTTTGTAATATCTGTTTCTTTGTCTTAATAGCTTTACAAAATTGTAAATAAGTTTGCAGAACTTCATCATATTCTGTGTTCTGCAAATTTTCGTACTGTTGTTTTAAATTTACTTTTTCTTTAACTTCATTTGTTACAGTAGACAACTTTTCATCCATGATTGCATTTAATACTTTATAAGCATCGATTGTCACCGTTGTTTCCTTATACATTTTCATGATACAGGATAATTTTGTAATCCTTGCTTGTACTTCAGCAACTTGAGCTCTTAATAATATGTACTCTGCTTTTTCTAAATAAATTTGGTTTACATCTTCGTACTTGTGTTGATTCCATTTATCCATTAGAGTTTTGCATTTCACTATATCTGTTTCATACTGTGCAGACAATTCTTCAACTTTATCTTTCCAATGAAGTATTTGTACTTCATGAGGTTCAAACAATTTTTTATGCGTATTAAAGTCCCTTGTTCTTAAAAGACTTTTCATATTACCTCCCATCTGTTCATACCTAAAATATCACAAAGTTGTTATTATTTGTACTGTACTTATACTTTGTAAATAAATTGAACATCATTAATTAAACCTTAATATATAATCATGTATCTTTTCCCTAAGCAACGTTTCTACATAACATTTTATATCTAACATCTCCTCATAACTGAAGTTATATGTTGGTAAATCAGTAATTCCCAATACATTTAATTCTTCTTGCATATCCTTTGACACAGATGACAAATGCATATATTTATTAACATCGTGTATTAAAAGTAATCCTTTCAATTTAATAACAACATCTTCAGATAACGTTTCTTTCTTATTCATTGATGCCTCCTTGATACATTCCAAAATTATTTTATTTTTTATATGGTCACTTATGCTTTCCTCACACGAAATAAGAGACTTGATAGTTTTTTCTAAATGATTAATCCCTTGATGGGGATTTATAGCATTTCTACTTGCATTATGTGTAAAACTACACTGTTGCTCAAACAAACTTTGCAACGAATCTACTCTTCCTATTATTCGACTGCAATTTGAACGAGAAACTCGCGAAATACTTGTTATATCTAAAAATTAAACAAATTGCATTAAACACATTGTATTATATTGTCAGTATTTGTAATTGTTAATTACTAATTATACACCTGATATTTGACTTAAATCGCTGAAACTACTCATACTGTAAATAATTGATACGACTTATTATCATTTAACAATCACCAACAAGTTAAACATTGACGAAATCGTTTTTATAAACCTTTCAAATTCAAACGACTAGAGAAACATTTGAAGAGAGGAATGTGTGTGTACGAAACGATAGTAATGCCGCGTGGTTAGCGGAGAATTGACAAAGCTTTCGTTTTCCCTAACAAAGATATAGACATATAGAAAGAAGGAAGAGGATTGGTAAATACCTGCAGCTGGTAATAGATGATTGTGTCACTAACTTTGCGTATGTGCTCTTCGATATCGTAGCAGTTCAGCTAACAGAAGCACATAATACAAGGAAGTTGATGATACAGAAATGACGACATGATGACCCCATAGACTTATAAGTGTGTATAAGTCCATGGATAATTCAAACTCAAACTAATTTAGAAGGTATCAAGAAATGAAGAAACAGAGACTGACAATTCTTGTCTTTCATTCATTATTCTGTAGAGGAGAGGTAAAGACAACCATCCATTTTTTAAGAGTAATCTTCGTATAATAATTATACCATTCGTTATAGAAACCAATTTTAAGCTTTTATCGTATATTTATACAAGGAGTATTTGTAAAAAGTCATGAGGAAATATTGCTTCTTCGTGTAAAACTGTTTGAGATATAACATCGCATGTTTGCACAGCAACATGGCTGCTGTGCTACTCTCCAATGCAGAGCAATGCGGGATCGTCAATCCTTGTCCGGAGTTTCTCAGTTTTCCCGCACGAAGCCTCCAAAACCAGTTCGGACTCAGGCTATCACTCCTGTATATCCTTAAGTGTCTGGCAGGGGAATCGTGAGTGAATATGCGGCCCCGGTAGTGCCTCCAAGTAATATGGTAGCAGAACACGTAAGGAGCATACCAACGTGATTCTGTTTTCCCATCAAATGTACGATTATAGGTAGCAAACTAATCATTAAATATACACGTAGAATCGAGAATCGAACCGTTGCAATTGATTACCATTTGCGAGAATGATGCTTCTGCAAATTTTTAATGTTATTTATGTGCGCATTTTATAATACTTCATGAAATATGGAAAAGATTACTTCATAATTCCGAATTGCACTCTCGCAAATATTTATCAATTTCTCTGTCTATTCTGTTTGGTTTGCAAAATATCGAATAAACTTTTCTGGATATACCATGCAAAGTAAAGTTTATACAATTTTACGAATTACAGGACCATAACGTTCCGATAAAACAGAAAAGAATGACGGTACAGGGTAGCGGTAGAAGAGAAGGGGAGGAGAGATTGCGGTAAAGAAAAAGTTTCCGAAGGATGTAAATTGGCAACCGGAAACGCAAATAAAAAGAAAGGGGAAGCTGGTGTACGGGAGAGATGGGAGCGTTAACGCGGGCGGGTCTGCTCGCTCTCGGCCATCAGCTCCCGGGACACGAGCAAGCCGAGCGTTTGCTCCCTCGTGATAACGTCACTTGGAGCATGTGTAGTAGACGGCGAGCATTCGCGACTTAGTTCGATACCGAACGCCGAGGCGTTCGGATTGTCCAAAAGCGTTCGTGTTTTTTTTCATTTTCATCATTTCCGCTTTGTCACGCGTATTTTATTCGTTTCACATTCAAAATCGGTACCGTTCGAAACACCAAAACGTGACTTGGTCGTTGGTTAGTCACGATATGCGTATTTTCAAAACGTCTTCGGCATCGCGCATCCCCTTCTGGTACATACGTAAGCAAAAGAAGAGGGAACTATTTCATCGGTGTTGTTTCTCGCGGACGGACAAACGGTAAGACGGCATGCAGAGTCAAGCGTTAGCTCTTAATTACGTACGTAGATATACGTGTACACTGCACGTACACATATACCGTGTTAATGTCCCGCCGCGCGAAGCATTCGAGTTATATCAGCTTTAACTCGCGAGGACCGACTGATTCCTCGTTTTCTAACGAGCCGTGTAATTGAATAAGAGTGCCAATTAACCTTTTCCATCCGGAAGATAGAATTTTCTCCGTTCGTTGCGTTTTTTAATCTTACGGAAAATTAATTGAACCGAGCGATTTGGATAATTGCGTGACCTACGTAAGAAGATATTTGTAAACGTGAAAAGCCGATCACCGTTCACCATTCAGTTTTATCCATAAAATTATTATTGTTCAACGATCGAGTAACTCGACGTTACATAAATTAAGATTTTGTCATCTTCTCGTCAGTAATAGTACGGAGCGAACGAATCAACTTCATCATTGATAAATATCGATCGAATCGCGATCAAAAATTGATCGTAAACGCTGGATGTTTTTTCGCTGGAACAGGCGATTCTTTGTCCGCTTTGTTTTTGCGGTTCATCGATTCATTTGGTTTTTGTTCTCGGTGAAACTTTTGAACACCTACATAATTTGAGTTATCTAAATTTCCCGATTCGTTGGCTCGCGATCGCAAAGCGGTTTCATGAATATAAAATCGCGCAACAGCAGCTACAAAAGATCGTTGAAAAATATTTTTAGTAACGGTGAATATTAAATGTAGCGGAAAATGTTTACAGCAACTTAATTTACCGTAATGAGATTACGTAGACCTTTTTGTACGAAAAGATCGTGCACGCTCTAGTAACTGGTGCTTGGCGCTCGCTGCCCGGTTTATCCTGCGTCGTTCCGGACTTCCGCGCGCGTTCAATCGATCTTGTCATAAATAAAACCTGTATGTGGCGAACAAACTATCTGATTCTGGCAAGATGTATTCGAAAGGAATCGATGATTTCTTCAGCCGCATACGAAAACGCATCGAGCGTAACATGGAACGTTCCGACGAATGCAAGAAGAGAAACTAAAGAGTTTAAAACGCGCGCTGGCTACAGACATCTAGATGTTTACGATACGTGTTATCCGATGGGACCAATACATACGTACGTTGGTTCGCGCATACCGAATCGGTCTCGTACGTACGCGATCGAACATCGAAAACTTTCTTTTTCAAAATAAAAGGGGAGGAGATACAGGAGAAAGGGTGGGTAAAAAAAGACAGAGAAGAAAAAGTTCGAGTTCACGTTTACCTCTTTGCAAACACGGATGTTTGTTTAATTTAAGAGTTCCATTTAGAGGAGTACGTTGCTCTAGGTAAAACGTAGGAGTCTCGTATCGTTAAGTAGATACGCGTACTTTGCGATGATCGGTTTTTCCATACTTGAAACCGTTTCGTTAGCATCGAACAGTATTCACGACCTGTCTCGTCGGCGAGTCCTTGCGGTTTTTACAAACTGTCTCGCGTTTTGTCGCAAGCAGCAAGGATAGCGGCAGAAGACGAATACGGAGACAAATAGATACGGGTCAATAGACTAGCGAACCAGAAGAAGCGTGGGCGAAAACGAGTTAGAGAGAGGGAGGGAGCGAGCGGTAAACAGGGTTGCAGGCACATGGCCGGAAACTCTTTCCGCTGGCTCTGGTCGTGGATCTCGATGCTGATCCTGCCCGGCTATTTGCTTCCTTTGAATAGCGAACAAACTCCGTGCGTTTCTTACGTGACAGCTACAACCGAAGCCAGCGATGACCAATCTCAAAAAGAAATAATGGTTTTTCTACGAAATTATTGCGACGACGCTCAGACGAATTCGACGGATATCCAAGATTATTTGGATCGATCTAACTTCGACGTACAAATCACTATTATACCCTCGTCTCGTGAGTATTTCATTGACTCTTTCCATCGTATCGTAAATCTACGTTTACATACCTCTTTCGTATTTCGCATTTTACGACATCGAAAGTTCTTACCGTCGCTCGTAGTGTCGTGCGAAACGAGAACCTGGGGTCTCGATGCTCTGTTACACGTTTTTGGAGAAAGAAGAGTCAAAGCTCTGGTAGCCGCGCTCGACACGCCAATGTGCGAAGTTACCGCTAAACTCGCGCGCCTTTGGAATGTACCACTTTTCACATGGACGTGTCCCTTGGTAAGCAAATATTTATTATCACTGTTCGAATCACTGTAAACTATAAATATAATAAACGCGTCTAAAAAATTTGTAGACAAACTTGGAAGAAAAGGAATTCTCGTCGATCGTTAGATTATCTCCGTCGTTACCGATGATAACGAAAGCCTTGGCAGAGACGTTGCTTCATTTACGATGGAAAAGCGTGATGGTAATAGGAACAGGTATATTTTGCTTCTCGATCAAACGCTTCGGATTTCCCATATTCCTAAGAGGTCGATTAGTAAATTCTAATTACAGATCGTGAACCATGGTTAAGTCTAGATAGAGCACTGTTGAATTCTCTTCGAAACATAGGAGCTAAATTGCGGTATCGCGCGATAGTACCGTACGGAGCATCTTTCGAAGAGATTCGACAAATTCTTCGTCCCGCGTACAACGTTTCTCACAGAGGTGAGTCAATTGTTTCTTCCCGTTTGTCGTTTTCTAATATTCGGTTCTCCACAGTTACCATATTATGCCTTCCCACGTCCGACGAGAACGACTTGACGTCTCGCGTCCTCGTCGAGTTGGATGTCGCGCAGCAGTCTTCCGAATCCACGTGGAACCCTATGATCGTGATCGTGCATATCGAGGACGACGATCTCTTCCTACCGAACAGAAATTCTTCGGCTCGTGATCCTGAGGTGGTCGCGACCACTACGTTTGCGACAAACTTGTTTTCTTTCAATTATTCCGCGTTGAACGAGTCGCAGGAACAATTCTTTGTTAACGATAGCGAGACTGGTGAGATAGAGCAAACTACCGAGGAAGAAAAACGGCCGGATGGCAACGAAGAAAGGGAAGAAGAATACGAAGAAAAAGAAGGGAATGAAGAGGAAGAGGAGGAAGAAGAAGAAGAGCAAGAAGAAGAACAGGAACATCAGCAAGAACCACGTCGACGAAGACGGCGGAGGCGACGACGACGTCGGCGACTATTGCAGCAAAAATTACGGGAATCGTCGCAGGAGCGAAACAACGAACGCCGTTTCTTTCCGCCAAAGAATTTAAGTTCCGCTTTCTTAGAAAGACTGCTGACGATCACGCCTCTCGATTATAGGTATCGTATATGATATGTTCGATGTTTCAAGAGTACCGAAACACGATCGAGTAAAACAAGTTCGGATGCTTCTCCACAGATACGATGCGGAGAAGTTGTACGACGGCATAGAGGAGTACACGGTGCCGACGTTGATGGATCGTTTGAACGAGACTTTCAACATCTTAATATACGACGACAACTCGAGTATAAATGGCTTTAATAATAAAATATATACGTACGTTTTGCTGGATTGGCGCGACGATGTTTGGAAACCTATCATGATCACTATCGAGGGACGAGAAAAGTTATTTGTCCGAAGATTATCTACGAACGCCGTCGCGTTTCGCGATGAGAAGGATACTGATCTTTTCAAATGTAACACGGACGCTGATACCTACGCTGCTATCGATTGCGCGGGTAAAAGAAGTATATATATATATTCGTATATCTATATTGCATATTGATCAAAAGAAGGAAAAAAAAAAAGTTCACGGAATACACAAAGGATAGATTAACGCAATCCGCTCACAATAGCGATATTTTCATTCGTTTATTCGTTTCGAGTTTCGCGATACATAAAGATATTTTCTTTCAGAGAATACTTCGAACGAATCAGCATTTCGTATCGCGCATATCGTGACCGTCGTTCTGGGATCGATATTGTTAACCGTGGTCACGATACTGATAGCACTTCTAATTAGGTACGGGGCATATAATTACTTTTCTCATTCAATTTTCAGTTTCTTCAATATAGCTCTAATTTCAAACACTTTCATCCGACATTTATATTCTATTCGATTCTATTCTGCTCTGCTATATTATACTGTATTGTAAATGAAACTATCTGTTATAACGTGGATAGAATCGAAACATTTAAATTTCAGGAGGAAGCTGCTTAAAAGAAGGATGTCCAAAGGCCCGTACAAGATCATATTAACCACGTCGGATTTCGTATTTCCACAGGTTCCTCCTCAGCTGGATGCTAGAAGGGTGAGTCGCGATAAAACGTTAACTACACGAAAGGGCAAAGAATCCCAACGTATCCTTCGCGTTACAATTCGGTGGAACAACGTTATAGGTGGACGAGGGTATTGAAACGATGCTGTGCTGTTGGTTACAACAGCTTCAAGAATTTGGTGGACCCGAAGTGGAGAAGCCGGATCTACTCCAGTTGGGAAGCGTATCCTCGTTGAAACCATGTTTAAGAGCTAGCCAAGGAAACTTGGCGCGTCATGGATTCTTGAAGGACCCGCGTGCCAGATACAACGTGAGTTTATACTTTTACAATTACTTTATTAATGGACTAACGATGCAGCTGACTAACTTCGATACTTCGCGATACGTCAGGGTGACTTGGTGCAATTGAAAGAACTGCCAGTACAAAGTACCTTCGAGCTGAAGAGCAAGGCTATGGATGTGCTGGTGATGGTAAGAGTACTATTCGATGGAACGTTGCGTATCGAGATTCAGTGATCGTTTCTAGCTTTACTTACATAGGGGGTTCTTGTCGTAGATTCACGGGCTACGTCACGAAAATCTGAATCCTCTGATAGGATGTCTGAACGAGCCTTCGAGACCTTGTCTCGTTTACGAGTATTGTTCGAGGGGATCTTTGGAAGATGTGCTGGTGCAGGACGAGATCAAGCTCGATTGGTCCTTCAGACTCTCTTTGCTTACCGATCTTGTGCGAGTAAATATACGCCATAAAATATTTATCCAACGTGATTCGAATAAGTGATAGATTTCATTTCGCGGTATGTAGGTAATTTGCCGCGAGGCGTCTTTTTCACTCGTTCACGATTTCTGTTGAAAAGGGTATGAGATATCTTCATGGTACGCCAGTGCGAGTACACGGTTACCTTACTTCGCGAAACTGCGTAATCGACGCTCGTTGGGTTCTCAAAGTGACCGATTACGGACTACCTGCTTTTTACGAAGCGCAAAACATCGTAACTCCACCGAAAACCGCCCGTGGTACGAGTAAAGTACTTTCTAAATTACAAGTGTTAACAGACTCGTTCGAACTCGAATACATTCGCTTTCGTTGCATTTTTTCACCGCAGATCTGTTATGGACGGCACCCGAGTTATTGAGACATCCAAATTTGCGAAAAAAAGGAACCCAAGCCGGAGACGTTTACAGTTTTGGCATTATCATGCAAGAGGTGGTAGTTCGTGGAGAACCGTTCTGCATGCTGTCCTTGTCACCAGAAGGTAGTTGATCTAAACTCGAAACCTGTTCACCTTTTATCACAATAAACTTTTTAACACGAAACGTTTTATACGTCGCTGTAGAAATAATCGAAAAAGTGATGAAGCCGCCACCGTTGATTAGACCTTCGGTAAGCAAAGGTGCCGCGCCTCCCGAAGCGATACACATCATGCGTCAATGTTGGGCCGAAGCGGCCGACATGAGACCCGACTTCGACGACGTTCACGATCTTTTCAAGAAACTCAACCACGGAAGGTAAAGTCTATCGTTTTCTTTCGCTGTTTCCTTGTCTCCCTATCGTTCTTTCCGCGTCAATTCTTCTTTTTATTTTCAGGAAGGTTAATTTTGTCGATACGATGTTTCAAATGCTGGAAAAGTATTCGAACAACTTGGAGGAACTTATACGCGAACGTACGGAGCAACTGGACATGGAAAAGAAAAAGACGGAACAACTGTTGAATCGAATGCTGCCGAGGTAGGTGATTATACATGCGTATCTATACGAGTAGATAACGTTCCTTTAATGTCGTTGCAGTTCGGTCGCTGAAAAATTGAAATTGGGCATGCCCGTCGATCCCGAAGAGTTTCGAGAAGTGACAATTTACTTTTCGGATATTGTCGGATTCACCACCATTTCCGCACGATCGACTCCGTTCCAAGTGGTCGATCTACTAAACGATCTGTATACCTGCTTCGACGCGACTATCAACGCGTACACCGTCTACAAGGTGATTAAACGATCCTGGTGATCGTCGGAACATAATTAAATTCGACTCGTACAATCGAGAATTCGTTTGTTGGAAATCGAACGTTAGTTTTTCCAACGTTGCAGGTTGAAACTATAGGAGACGCTTACATGGTCGTAGGTGGGTGTCCGGTAAGGATACCTGATCATGCTTCGCAAATAGCTACGATGGCGCTCGATTTATTACATCAGAGTGGAAAATTCAAACTGAAGCACTTGCCGAATACTCAGCTGAGACTTCGGATTGGTCTCCACACCGGTTAAGTATCATTGATCTCGGCTTACGACTAAAGACTTACTCGCTGATCTCTTTCTTAACGCGTGTTTCGTATTCGAACTGTCGATCGCAGGTCCATGTTGTGCCGGTGTGGTCGGCTTAACAATGCCAAGGTATTGCTTGTTCGGTGATACCGTTAATACGGCGTCCAGAATGGAGTCGACCGGCGCACCCTGGCGTATACATCTGAGCCAAGCGACCAGAGATCGGCTTACTCAGGTGGGTGGATATCACATCGAATATCGTGGTCCAACGGAGGTCAAAGGCAAAGGAAGAATGCCCACCTATTGGTTGCTAGGAAAGCAAGGTTTCGATAAGGAGCTTCCAAAACCGCCACCTCTCGGGTAAGTCTTTTTGCCGGTGCACACTATGGTTTACGTCGATTCTACTGTCTCCGGCGACAACCTGCAATACTAAATGCGCGGAAAGGCCATGGAAATTTGCTCTCGTTTTCTCAAATTGTTTCCGTTTTGGTCGCTTTAAAGGCTATTTTGCATCTTTCCCCCATCCGGTAAATTCTATTGTTCGTACCCGATTCCGTGACGGTAAACGAGGCGTACAAATTGCTCGAGCGTTGATTACCCTTTGTTACGACCGCGGTAAAGTTCACCGCAACTGCGTATACGCGTTGTTCCGGTAGATCTTTATTCGAGATGTTTACTTTTCAGATTTTTAATGCTTTTATCTGTTGCCATACTGCCGCCATCTTCAGGGAAAACCATGGGTAAGTGAACGTTAATAAACATCCGGATAAATTCGCGCGTGAACTGTTCAAACATGTTCGTAAACGTACGTAGGTGTGGACGCTTAGAAGAATCGGACGAACAGTCTGTCCAATTTTTCTTTCGTCTTATTATTGTTAGTTAAATAAAACTAGAAAACTTTTCTGAAACGTAACGTTTGACAATTTTCAATCTTCTCGGGTTGAAGGCTGAACGAAAGTTTAATGATAGAAGATCCGATCACCCTGGATGAGACGACCAGGTCGTCGACAGACAATTCTACGAATGCGTCGCGCGAACAAACCAAGGGAGCGATGGAAAGCAAAGAGAAGGTTGATGGAACCGCGACCAAGAATAACGAAGACAATACGACGACAAGTAACGTAGCGGTATCCGTTCACGATACCGAACCGATCACCTCGAATACTTCTGCGAAATCGCCTACGGATTCATCGTCGAAAGATAAACCGAACGAAAGAGGAAATGCAGCGAAGATCAGTTCTGGCGATAATCAAGCGTCTCTCGGAGCATCGAACGTATTTTACACCGATACGACGGTTCTCGGCGCGTCTACCACTTCGCTGGTATCGATTTCGAGCTCTGCGACGGTCCCTTATAGGCCAGCTCCTGCGAGACACCGGAGAATAGCTGGCTACATAGACGAGAACGATTTAAGCACGCCGTATAATCATTACAGATGTCTGTCTCCAAACGAACATTACGGTAAATCCCAACTAATTCTGTTTCTTTGTAAATACACGGTTACGCAACCTTTGTCTCTGCAACCCTTTCTATTGTTCTTTAGGGAGAAGTACAGGCTCTCGCTTCTTGAAAAGACAGTTCAGTTTGGATCGACCGGACGATGCTATTTGCGTTGGTTTTATCGAGCAAGCCAATTACCAACAACAACAGCAACAACGACAACAACAGCAACAGCAACGACAGCAAAATTTGAATACACCTAGACTGTTTAAACAGAACAGTGCTGGCGCAGCGAACGATTTGGAGCGCATCGAAGAAGTTCCTTCTACTCCGGCCCCTCTCTTGCAACATTATAGACAGGCTGCTTCGGTTTCTCTTTCCGTCGAATCTTTGACGCTTCGTTGAGAATGTCGCGTTCGTTTCGCTTTGAAATATCTTGATGGTCGAGTCGATCAACTTCGAGATCCAGCATGACGAAAACGAGACGTGCATCGAGGAAACGTGATAAGCATCGTATCGCCCTGTTTTGTAAAACGAGCAGGAACTCGTTGCAAAAATCGCTCGATGCGAAAACGATATTTTATTTTTTCCTGTGTCTATTCATCACCGTTTCTTCTCTATTTCTCGTGTCATGGACGTAGATCGACGCTCGAACACGATTTAATCGCGGCGTATCCAAAAATATGCAAAAAAAGCAGTTTACAGGGAAAATTACACCCGTTATCGCGGATGACAATCTCTATTACGTACAAACGTTTACGCGTATACTCGGTTTTTCTTAATCTATTTTCTTTTACTTAATTATTAAAAGCGAATATCGCACACATTCTCTCGGTCAGATATTTTTATCACACATATTTCTTTCCGAACAAACTTGTGGCGAAAATGAATTTTCATTCATCCATAGATTTAAAATAGGTACTCTTTCCTTTTTCGTTTCTTTCGTTTAGTATTCGTTTCTATATTAGTAATATCGTACCATCGCGTTCGGATCATAGACAATAATTCGATAACTCATCGTGAAGGGGAACACGAGGTTTTCTTTTTGCTTCGTTTCTCGTTCCCCCTCGCTGTACAATTACGTGAATTTTACGAATATAATACATATATCGAAACTAATGATAAGTACATTGATCGATATTGCGTGATACGTATAAAATATATGCAAAATAAATTATTATTACGTTCGCGCGTATATACATACATGTATACAACCGTACGGAAGACGAGACACGTGCCAACGTGATTCTTATGATCATGCAATAATTTGTGTGTTAATTGTATAAATAAGTGTACATAACCACGGAATATATACGTACATGAAGAATTTACGATGCGACGAGATTTCAATAAGTCTGTTTGTTTGTATTCTCGTGATAAAATCGTCGTATAGCGTTGAACACGCGCTTAATAAATAATGTCGAGATCGATGAAACTCTCTCTAACTATAAAAATACAAGAAAAGGGAGGGAAAAGGAGGGGAACAGACTAAATTATTAGGGAAAGAGAGAAGTCGAAACTTTTGTTCTTACAAAACGACACCGCTTTAATTTAATATCGTTTCCAATGATCGATTGATACAACTTAAACTAATAACGTAACAATAAAGTCATAGCCGTACACATTTACGTGGATACAACAAGAACGAAATTTCGATGGAAATACAATGACGGGTATTCTTCTTGATCTCTGCATTTATCTTGCACATATGCTCTCTGATTCTCTTCTTCTCTCTCTTTCGCTGTCTTGTTTAATTAGGTTGTGATTATCCAATGTATCCACGAGGAACGTTCGAAAAGCGTATACCGATGCATCTTTCGCGTTACCAGCTCCTTGAAGGTGACGAAAGTAAAATTATAATTTTGTTAGTACATTGATAATCGAAGAGAGAATCCGCGACTAAGGATACTTACCCGTAAGGAGAAGACTCTGCCGCGTATTCGACGTGTATCGGTTTGAAAACAGGAGCCGGCCTTTCGATTATTCTTTCGACGTAAATAGGCTTCTCGACGTATTCGACGTATTTGGTGGATGGCGGGGGCGACGAGAGATATACGTGACGCACTTGCGGGGCTGAATAATATCCAGCTTTGTATCTGAAAAGAAACCGACGAAACGTGCAATGGAACAAACGGTGGACGCGCATGCGTGTTCGACGAAACCATCGATAAATGCGCATGCGCTTTCAACGAAACGACAAAGGCGCGATGCAACGCGGCGCTTCGAATTGTTTCAAGAACAGAAATTGCCGCACTAGAAATTTCTACAAAGATTGCTTACCCTTTCGCGATGCCTAAGCCAAAACCTAAGAGTCCTGCACCGATCAGTTTCTTTTTCAGGAAAAGCGTTCTTTTTTGTCTGTTTAACGGAGTCGTTGCATCCCTCTGGTCACCTTCCCTTATTTCGGCACCTTGATCGTAGATCGCAACACCGCTCTCTTCCGACAATTGAGCATCGTTATTAGCAGTGGAATACGTTACCAAAAGACAGCATAGGAATGCAAGAATCGCGACACTGCTGACTGGATGCATCTATCGAACGAAAAGTTATTAAATACTTAACTATTCGTATATATTATACCGTTTACATCGTCGTTTCTTCTAATAGTACGTCGTATAAAGTATCGATGTGCTACTCGTTGATAATATAATCGTCTTACCGTTGTATGTTGTACAATCGTGTGGACTGACGGTAATCGGAAACGAAAAGAGAGCGCTGTGTCGTATGTCACCTTTTCGGCAGCTCCCTTTTATTTTATACGGGCTCGCCTACCTTCCGAGCATCAAATTCTCCCACCTAAACGAACGATTCTATTCGTATTGCTCTTCCTCCGATGTTCGATATCGCCGGTGAACCAATTACGAAGAATTCAGGATACGATCGGGATATCGATATTGCCAATCGAGAGATTAGCATTTTTTGCAACAACCTATTACGCGATAATTCGAACACGGACGTGACGTACAACGTACTTGGACGAACGTGTCGACCCGTTAACTTTCTCGTCCCGATGCAAAGTTCAAAGCTTTACAAAGGAATTATCGCGTTTCCTTTTTTCCTTCCTCTTTTCCCGTACAATACTGCAACTGAACGTATTTAGCGCGTTGACCCGTTGTCCGACGCAACACGAGTATCTACTAAGAAGCGCTCTTTATTAAGCGTTTAAAATATACAAAATTAATTTTAGCGCGGTCTTACCGCTACTATACATTGTTCTATGGTTTTCTATTTCTCCATAGTTCTACCTAAATAAACTCGTGATGGCGGTCATCGGTCGCCATTGTAAATTAAACGTTCATAAATAAATATATATTTATATGTATTTTTGTCAAACTGTCACGAGCTATCAAACGATACGTAGTTTATAACTCTACAGAAATAATAAAAGAAGAAATACCGAAGGTTTCGTCAAAATTGATTCGATAGATTTCGAGATTACCGCGAACACACGAACAAACAATCTTCCGACTTTATATGTATATTAGTATAGATATACACGTATTATCGAACAATTGCATAAATGGACAAGAACGTTTCGAATGCCGATAACGAGCCAATACGTAACAAGGATGAAATTCTGTGTGTAATCATTTATGAAACCGGGAAAACGAGATCGATGATCGACGTTCCAAACGCGTTACATTCGGCGTAAGTATGTATGTATGTATGTATCTGTGTACGTGACTGGTCATTATGGCTACGATCACGCATACCAACTCGTCGAACGAGCACCGAATAATAATGAATTGTTTTATCTTCTCGTATCCCGTTTACGAACCCATTCGAATTTCTGCTCTCTCTCCCACTCTCTCTCTTTCTGTTGCAATTAAATTCTCGGAGAATCGAATCGTGAGACAAATAGTACAGTAAACCATAGACGTACGGTATGGGCGCAATTAGATAATGACGTTACGAAGATTCCTTCGTACTTCCGAGTGTCGTTTCGATTTCGATTTCGTGCTCTTGCATCGTTTCGAATCATTGCGTATTCTTCGACGGAAATCTATCTCGCAATATTTTTGGCCGCGTGTCTTACCTTCCAACTAACGGGTTACTCAATTCTCGCCGTACTCGAGTTTTCGAACTCGCGCTAACAGTTTTTACCGAATCGTCGCTCGTCGAAATTGACTACTGCATTGCGACACATCGTGGGTGAAATTTCCTACGTACAATCACATTCTTTGTACGTGAGCGTTAGCGATCGTATAGGCGTTGCGTGTTTGAAAGAAGATACCGAATGGGAAAGCAATAAATGCATATTCCGATGCTTTTCTTTTTATTTGCACAAATTAGAAAATAATCATAAAAAGAATGTATTTATTTTAACATAAATATCGTCGAATATCGACACGAAAGAATTTTATTTCGCGTTACGAAAAATTTGTACTTTGTTCTTTCGTGTTTCTTAAACGTTACATAGTCCTGTTCGTACAAAGTCCGTTTAATGGTGTCGCGTTCGATCATGAGATATTACAGCAGCGAACAAAAGAAAGTTTAAAACGTAATACGTCGAACAGAGTGGATTCTCTGAAATGAAATGATGAAATTATGAAAACGACGTTACATGCCTATTATAAAAAATGACAAGTACTCTAACAGGCTAGCAGCTGTTTTAAACTTCCTTCTGTTCACCGGCGTAAGTACTTCGGTATACGCTAATCGGTCACTATTAATACCAGCCTGGTTCAACGTGACCGTAATGAGAGTGTCCGCCCACATAGACATCATGGTAACCATAACCACCACCATAACCGCCCCCGTAACCGCCGCCAAAACTACAAGGAATGATCAGAGTAATGCGCATATTCGACGATGGTTACGATTAATAATAATCGGAAAGGGGCGGTACGAAACGCTCGTACTCACTGCTTAGCTTTGTACAAGCCTGCACCGAGAGCTCCTGCACCAACCAGAGCTTTAGCTCCTACGGCAGCGCCGCCGAGCAAAAGAGCTTTTTTGCCGAGGAGAGCTGCTCCTCCGAGCAAAGCTAGTTTTCCTAGCGGAGCTCTTTTCACGCGAAACAGTCCTTCTTCGAAGTTTTCCGTTTGCTCCGTTTCTTCGACGTTTTCCGTTTCCACCGTTTCCAGGTTACCGCCTGCTTCCACCGTTTCCACCGCTTCCTCCGTTTCTTCCGTGAACTGTTCGTCGAACGCGAGCAAGGATCGGGCTTGCATACCGTCGACCAGCAGCAGCATCATCAGTGCGCAAACGTATCGTGGATTCATCTGAAAAAGATGCGGTCGAAATGAATATTTGCCAAGTTGAAGCAACGTAATTACAAAAGGATGAAAGAAAGTTGAACACCAACCTTGCCAAAATTGGTAGAACAAACCGAATTGTTGGTTACGATCGAAATGTGCACGTGCTTTAAGGTGGAAGACTTTTATACGCGAAAAGTACAGATTTTATCCCCTCCACCAGGTTCATTCTAATTTTTAAACCGGATTTAGCGAATCTCCTCCTCTCCGACGCTATCCAGCATCAACTTCGTTCATCTCCGCTTTACGGTTTCCCCCTACTTTTGATCCTTCGCAGCCAACCGCTTGAAAACTGTTCGGAAAGGATCGAACGCGGTTGAACAGGAAGGTCATTATCAAATTTTATTTATTAACCTGTCATCTCATACTACCGAGTCATCGTCCGTTTCGCACGTGCGAACCGTGAATCGTAAACGTAACGAGAAGATGCTGCGACGAGCATCGTTTGTCTATTGCACACGCGAAGAAGAGAGATGGACGCGTACACCACCCATCGGCTTTCACTCGGTCCATCCTCCGGTCATCGATTCTTTTTACTTCTTACGACCTTGGACATACCACCAGTCATTTTTGCTCAATTCAACAACCTTAATGGCCTCCGCGAACGAGCGTCGATTTGCATAAGATCTTTGAACCGACGCTGATTCTTAACGAACGTTGCAAAATTAAGAAATTGTTTGCGACGTTTAACTGGAATGTGATTTATAGTTTCAATTCGAACTTCGAATCATTCGTACAAATCGCGTAGATTGTGTATCGATAAATCGCGCTATGTCGCTGTTTTGTCATCGACAACTTCGATGATCATCCTGCTGCACTATTCCGAGACGAATAGAAGAGTAATCGTAGTAGAACGTAAACTGCAGCAATGCCTCCAAAACGGAAAGGACGAAAGGGAGCGAAGGAAAAGGTCGTGCGTGATCCGAAGAAAGAAATGTTACTCCGCGAGATGAATTACGGCAGTTTGAATACGGAGCGTTACCGTCGCCTCTGGCGAGATACGCTTATGAGGATAAAACTGCCAGAAATTCGAAAAAGTGTCGAAATAGCGTGGCAAAGTATAGAGCGTACGTTCGACCTCAAGGACTACCGGTATTTATGATGAGATAAACAGCGACGAAAAAGTTCGTTAAACGCGGAAATTTCTCACGCTTTTGCAGTATCAGTTTGTTGTTGGACGGTTTGCAAGAAGTCGAGGAGCAGCGACGTCGCGCGAACGGTGCTCGCGTAGAAACGTTCGATCGGTCTATTCAGGTGCACGAAGTAAGACTGAAAACCATCGATGCTACTTTCCGTGAAACCATCGAGAAGACAACGATCCAAAAAAAACGTGAATTCGAAAGTATCGAACGTTCGCGAAATGACACGGAGAATGTTCTACGTAGAATAATGTGGCGCGTGAGCAATCGAGATGATAACGCATCGAGCGTCGCTAAAAGTATCGCGATCGGTAGGTGAGGCATATGTTTAAATACATATTCATTCTTCCTTTTTACGTATCTATCGTTCGTATAAACGAAAACCCATTGATCTCGATCGTATTACCGATTTTAAGGTAAAATCAACACTTTCTCGGCGGACGGAGAGAACGATAGAAGAGTAACTACTGCATTACTCGAAAAACGACTCGAAGATCTTTGCACCGATTTGCGAAACGTTTTCGCGGAATATCGTAGAAGTGCGTATTACGAATATGCGGCTAGTTGACGAATTTTAATCGTTCGTAACCATTTACTATCTCACGACAGGTACCGCGGATCGGCGAAAAGCTTACGATGCGATTCGAAAGAAGGACGAGTCCGATCGACGAGAGATAGTCGTTCAGTGGAAGCGCATCGCGAATCTCCTTACCGATACAGCAAAGTTTCGAGAAAATATTCGCACGTACAGGGACGACGCTTCCACCGAACTACGTGAAATTATTCGGGAATCGGATTTCTTTCACGATATCTATCGCCGAAGAAACGAATATTTCGTTCTTGGTACGAAACGCTTTATTTGTAAACCAACATCTTGCGTAATAAATAATTTAACAGGTCGAGAAAATGATAAACGGAAAGCGATAACAATGTCTAAGGAATACGATTGCACCGTGAAACGATTTAAAAAATTGATAGACAAAGCGGAACGCGTACTCGCGTATGTACAGATATGTCGAAAGTACGAAACGGAAGATGAACAAATTCTTCCAATTAATAATAATGGCGCTTCGTTCGAAGCTCAACAGAGCATTTCGCAAATTACAAGTTCACCTCTTCAATTGGTTAGAATTCGGTCCAGTTTATTACGTATTTATATATCTAAGTATACACAGCTTTGACTTGTGAATTTAAGTACGGATCTTTTCTAGGCTGTAGAGGACTATGAAAACTCGGTTAACTTTTGGCGTCGCGTAGGCCTCGCGCAATTGATCGTCAATGAATTACGCATCGAAAGAGATAGATTATCGAAGGAAACGGATAATTTACGAAAATCGGTTGCGAGTTATTTCTATGCGCTAAAACCAACACCTCCGTAATACGATGATATATCTGCTTCTTCATGGATAATGGATTTGAAAATAATCAAACGACAAAATGTTAAGAATTCGTATATTTTATTTAGGTTTTTATATATTTTTTTTCGACGAACCATAGGCTAATCGGTAATGGTGACAATGGAATGATAGACGCGCACCGAAAGTATTTTAGGTTTGTTCCATAACACAGATAAAATGTACGCATAAATAGTATTGCTTTATCGCGCGTGCAACAAACTCGTGTTATAAAATTAACGTTACACCGTGATCGACGATCCTCGTTAACTAGCTCAACGAAATATTTCGCTCCTTCGTGCTTTCGTTTGTTGAGAGATGTCGTTTAAATGAGTAAACGTTTCATTCATTCTGCTTTGTAACGCGCTTGAACTTTTAACGCGACTTATGTTTATGCGCTATGCGCGATAGCATTTTATTGCCTGCGAGGAAGGTAACGACGCCGAGACCAACGAGGTATCGAAGAGTGACGAACATGTTGAGTTTTAACCAAAATATCCCGAAAAGCACGAAAATACCTGTAACAAAAAAATTCTTGATCATCCAACTATTCCTCGTAATCGCTCAAGAGAGCTTGAGCAGAGGAAACAATTTAAAAGAAGAACAATGTCATGAATATCGGGCTACAAATACAACGTGGTACATAGTTGTATTTGCGAAAAATTCATCTTTTTCTCTGTGCCTAGAATTTAAAATAAATTAACTAAAAATGCTAATTTATTATATTCTAGATTCTAGGCAAAGATGGTTCCACTATCACACAGGATGATTAAATTATTAGTAGACTCCAAAGGAAGTAGTGTGTTAAAAAATGAGTAAATGAAATACGATACTTACTGCCCAATCCAAGATGGAACATAAGTGCGCTAACCGAAATTGGGAAATTCGATATATTCACTCCTAGTTTTGCCCACAAAATTAATAATAAAAGAACTGGAGCTAAGCATAAACCACTGAATAAATTGGAAACGAATGCTGGAGGTCTCTTTTCGCGTTCACGGAACATATGCTGAAAGAATATACGAGTTTAGTTTAATATTATAGTGTTTCGGAAGAGATGTTCGCCGAAATAATCGAATGAAAAACGTTCCAAACATTTTCAACTTGGAACGTCAAAATATTCGACGATAAGTTTTTCTTTCCCAATGATATGGAGGTGACAGAATCTCCAGCGAATTGCTGTCACTAACGAGCATTGGTTTTTATTTGTGAAGCGTATTCGAATTGTTTCATACCTTTATCTCTGGTTTGGTCTCATAGATATTGGACTTGTATTTGTACAAGACACCTTTATCTGCCCGTTCAGTTGATATCGGTTCAGGGAATTTTAAAGTGACCGTCGCCACTGTCCACTGGAAAGGATTACTCAACACTGCATCGCCGACGATTAACTCCACGTTATAATCCCCACTTAGATAATCAAAATTTGCTGCCATACTTCCAACTGGCTGAAATGTTTCGAAAAAGGGAATGGTATTCCTATTCGACAATGTCGGTGAAAGTCAAACGACGAATAAAAATGTACATCGCTTACCATATCGAACTTGTAAAGATGCGATGCATCCGGTTCGGCGACCAACAGGATTTCACGAGCCTTTTTATCACTGTTCGAATTAGCTACCGAAGAAAGCCGTACAAAAGTTTGATGGGTGCGCATAGGTTTTTTAGTAGTACCGTCTCTGAATAAAAATCGCATAACTAGTTTTTGCTGAGAATCGGCCTCTATCTTTTCAGACAATTTCTTTGGATAAAGTACTCTGCAATTCAAAATAAATAAAAGAATTTTAAAATTCCGACGAAAGAACGATAGTATTTCAGGTACTCCGTAATGACAAATTACCGTGTAAGTTTTGGCTGAGTAGTTTGATCGGCATCGGCAGTACCAATTTCTAAATGATCAACTACCACTTCGCAAAGAACTTTTACCGTAACGGTATTAGTTACTGATCCTGCGGCAATGGATACCTTGTAAAATCCACGTTCCGGTTTCATCTTCATCAAATTGATCGTGAACAATGTCCTAAAATTCGATACATGTACTCGTAGAACACGGTCGTTTATAAAATATAAGAATGCTTGTTCGTTAAATTTCTTGACCTTCTTTAAGATTTCAGTGAAAAAGAAGGCCTAAGGGTTGTATTAACGATTACTTTACCCCAAGGTATAACCAACTTTGAAAAATATGAAACATAGTTGGTAAAGTATTGGGGAAAATGAACGAAAGCTTGAATAGTTAGTTACTTGTCGTTTGGCGATGGCTGGAAGTTCTCGTTACTCAAAATAGCAGCGTCGTCGCCGACTCTCGTTGCAGAGTTTGCGATCACTTTAGGTACGCTGGTAAGCGGATTACCGAGGATATCGCAAACTTTCACCGTGACAAAAGGCTGCTGAGTAGAAATGCTAATTCCTTCATTGGCTAGCGTTACGCAAATTGGTTTTTCATAATCGTTATTTGCTAAAGTCGTTAACGCCGATAGTAAGTTGGTAACACCTCTAGGTGTCTGTACAGATCGCCGAGACAGAAGATAATTAGCTATTTTAACAGTTTGCTGGGACGTTAATGGTGGTTTCTCCTTCAGTGTGTTAGAAAGTTTAAATATACCGTTTACTAAGAAACCTGATAAATAAATAAAAATGTTTGTTAAGAATTGTCTAAAATAAAAATTTGACATACGATCATTGACCACTGTGTTTGGGAGTGAGGAGGGACTGGACAGAAGGAAAGGTAGGAGAAGAAAAACAAGATCCTATTTATGATACTCACTAGTCACGGAAAGACCGCCCTCAAACTGTAAATACTGTCCATCTACTTCGTCAGCCTGTATAATTGCATCTTCGAGACGAGTGAAAGCAAATGTTCCGCTTATTCCTAAATCCGAGGCAATGTGGAAAGTATACCCTAAACTGTTTATAAAATATTCAAATGAAAACAAAATTGCAAATTTTCCCTTTCAAGCATTTTACTTATCAGAAATCCTATTTTCTTACTTCCATAAATTGTCATCTTTTTGTAAGGTATTCTCTATGGCTTTGATTACTTTGTCAACCTTATTGCGTGGCAGTTTTTCAGACAAGGCAGCTAGTCCATTCACTGCATAGTATAATTCCACGATACTAGATGTATCTTTCTCTATTGTACTTGAAAGCACCTGTTCAAATAAAAGTTTTTTCTCTTCTAGACTCATAATGTTAAGAAAAAGTACTTTAAATATTCATTATTATTTTCATTCAGTAAGTATAGTTTTCTTCAGTGCAAAATTGCAGTAGAACGAAAGTTTGTAAAACATCATTATGCTTGAAAATCTATTGTGTACATGGTTTAAAAAATGAAACAAGACGAAAAGAGTATAAAAGAAAAGTATATACCTTTGAAATTACAGATGTAGATTTACGCTGACAATTTCCTATAGTTCGCCATATAGATGCAATGTAAAAAGCATTCTCCCCTGTAATATTTTCATCTTTTGTAACTTCCGTCAGATAATCACAAATGACCTGAAACAATTATCTTGTGAAGTTGTTATTCTAAAAATCCTTGCAACCTATCAATTCATGACTAACTATATCAGTAAGACTAATCTGAAGATCATTGTGTTTCAATTATTGCAATTCTTCATCATCAAATAACTCTTTTACGTGCATCCACACCTGTACTAATAATATAACTGAAAAGAGTTGGATTATCTAACCTGCTTATTTGGTAAAGCTTCTCCAAGAAATGCGTATCCATTAACAGTATAATATATGGACGATAAATCGTGAGAGGTTAAACCTGGTTCAAGAATTTTCTTGAAATGTGCTCTATCAGCCGTTGTTAAATAAGAATTTGTTGATAGTAGTAATTCTGGAGCTGAATAACATACTGTTACACACGTGACGATAATTAACAACAGTAGGTCTGAAAGAAAGAAAAGAATAGACACTTTATAATGATATTTCTTTAAAATCGACACATTATGGAAATACAAAATTATGTGCAATTATATGTATTACGCGGAGCGAACTGAAGCGATGTATCCGTCCTAATACGTCGGCTCAAATATAATTGCATTCTAACGAAGTTCAAATTCAGATAAAGAACATAAAAACACTTCTTTTCTCCGATTTTTCTTTACTTCCTATGCAAGATTATACAAGCTTTGTTGAATCAATCGAACAATCGATAGCATTTTGTTAAAACGTGTACAACAGGTACGGGAGGTAATACGCGCGAAATATACGTATACCGTATATATTCGTGTTCACCAATATGTAAAGAAAAACTTTATAAGAGATATAGAACTAAATAATACTCACGAATATTCATGGTAACAAGAATACCGGGTACACCGGCTGCCACGTTGTTTCTCTGAACAAAATGGCTCTTCCTCCATTGCGCGTGTACCGAAAAGTGGACGAACCTTTATTCCGGAAATAGTTGGCAACACGATAACGGTCTTTTGAGTGAAACATGCGCAGACGCCAAACAGGGTTTCAAGGAATCATGAACGTTTCACTAAAAAGTGATTGGTGGAACTAGCGTTATGCCTAGACCAATGGAATATTCCTACAATATTTGAATTCGAATGAAAAACGTGCATTTCGTAAAAAACGAGACACCATCTGCGTTCGACCACGCTCATCGTAGATGCGTAAACCCGTTGCCACATTAACCCGCCAAATATTATTAAAATCAGTACAAAATATTATTAATAATATTAGTTAGAAAATTTCAAAATTTTGCTCAGTTTCACTTGTCAATTATAGATTATTTTTTCTTCATAAACTTCAAATGTTTTTTTATATTTTTTCTATTTTCATAATTTTTTCTTGTGTACAAAAACTGTTTTGTAAGAACGAACAGCTATAAATCCGAGTATATATCAAAAACGAGTAAAACTACGGCAAAGAATTGCGGCCTGTTTAGTAACGCGTGTTCTTACCAACAAAAAATGAGAAATTATATCGTTTAGAAGGTTATTTGAAAATAAAGTGAGTAGCGTTCGATTCTTAAACGCGTTGTTACTGACATCATATATATTTATAGTGCATGTACCGAATGAAAAACACGAATTAAAGATCAGATGCGTCGAGTGCGATGAAAAAAAAATCAACGTACATTTAATAGTATTTCCACTTAAAACGATCAGCGTTAACGGTAATTCAGTACGATATTTTTGAATTAGTATCGATGAGTAATAAGCATCAACTAGCCAGTAATGCTAGTAAAATATAATGATTACAAGAACAACGCTAATAACGACAATCGTATTATATTATACAGGGGACTGTAATCGTGATGTACCGTTTAAAAATATGTACAAAACTTAATTTTAACGTTAAGTAGTTTATATAAAATGAATGATACACAATTAAGGACACGAGGTTAGGTAATTTACAAAAGCAGCGCTGTCGCGCACAATAATTAGGATTTATGTGCGGTTATGTAATAGGAATTACACGATATTACCCTTTGATCGAAACGTTGCCTTTTTTCGATACATATTATTGATACAAGCGCGTTTCAATCGACATAAAGGTGCACGTCAATCGCTTACTTAGCAACATATTACAGAACACAAGTTGGACTTGTATACGACGAATGTTGTAATAACTACATAGCAAGTTTTTAATCTTTCGTCAAGATTCCTTTTTCGTTCGCAATTATATTAAAGATACGTTTCCTTCCGATAACCTCGATAAAAGGAAAATGAAGCAAGGGCATTAATGTTTGGAACTTGGAAGTCGTCGAAGAGGAAGATAATGTAAATGTAGTACTAGCAGTAATAGCAGTAGTGATAATAATAATAACGATAGTTGCAGTAGCAGTAATAGTAGTAACAATAGTAATAGTAGTAATAGTAATAATAGCAGTAACGATAGTAAAGATAAAAATAAAATAAAAATGACAATGGTAATAATAATCTTATGTCCAACGCGTAGCAACGTGCAAAGAATGTATGACGCAGCAAAAGTGTTCGTATAAACTTAAATCACTTGCTAAAGAAACTAAAAGCGGGAGATCCAATTTTTGGTTAGTTTTTTTTTTTCACCGATCTCGGATTCTGAATAGAAAAATGAACGTTACATCGTCGCGATAAGTCACGTAAGTGTCCCTTAAAGGATTTAATGGTTTGCGCGTCAAAGAATCTACGATTATACCGTTGCCGCAAACATATGTTTATCCAATAAACAATTGCAAATCTAAATATCGTCTTATATTTGTGGATAGCTAGAAAGTTCCACGGTGTACGCATCACCGTGGCCCAAGCAAACGTAAAAAACGTGTTCACCGAACAAATGAAAACGACTCGATCAAGATTGGTCCTTCGTAGACCTTCGTGACTACTTATTCTATATACATTGGTGATAGTATACACGTAACGCGGATGCATCGCGTATCGCGCGCTTCGTTGATCTCTCGAAAGAATTTAAACGATATATTACAGAATTTTCGATAAAACTATGTACAGAAGTAGAGCGATAGGCACGACGAACGACAACAACGAAGGGCGTTCCTTTTCGTCGTTTTGGTATTTACAAGTGATATTCGCTCGTCGGCGAATTATTTTCGGTACTCTCTGAAGGGATACACATCGCATACGATCTTACAGGGAAACTCGTCCGATGCACTTGCCCGAAACTTAACGAATACGAAGAAAAAATGTCGGCTGTACAGGAGAAACGTGTAATAACGGTTTCGATGTTCCATAGAAATAAACACTTTTCCTCTAATCGAACAACGGCTAATCGAGCGAGTCCGAAGGACCTTGACCCCATCGCGACTTTACTCTCGAGGCTTTAGTCGGAGTCGAAGAGACGGCGCTAGCATCTTCGGTGCTAATCTTTCGTTTAACGCTGACCACGATTCCACTCTTTGGAACAAACTTCGAACGAGATCCAATTGTCTTGGATACGTTGTTTTCCACGTTGGGTGGCGTGGATGGAAACGGTGGAAAGTCTTCGTCTTCGAGACCAGGCGGTTTCGGTTGTTCGGGAGCTATGTTTCTCTTGAAAGGTTCCGGAAAGGGACTCTTGTACGAATTCCCTTCGCGCGGAGGTAAAGAAAGGGAATGAGGGTGCGGATGAGGATGGGGATGTGGATGAGGATGTGGATGAGTATGGGAATGCGAATGGGGATGAGGATGTGGATGAGGAATCGGTAGGGAAAGAGGAAGAGGAAGAGAAGGTGGTGGAGGAGGTAAAGGTGGAGGAGGTGGAGGAGGAGGCGAAGAAGAAGACGACGAAGAAGAAGAGGGATTCGAAACCAAGGATGAAATATTCGCGGTAGATATCGGCATCACCGTTGGAGATGAGGCTCCCATGATCGTTGGACGAGCCGCGATCGCGGGTAAATCAGATTGAGCGGAGTTACTATTCTCGGTCCCGGGAATTTCAGGGGTTGCAGAAACCGCTGATGCAGCAGCTACGGCCGCCAATTCTTCTTCCGCTTTTCTGATCAGATCCAAATCGCTCAACGAACTAAGCGTGCTCTTGCTTTCCCTTTCCTTTTCTTTTTCCTTTTCCTTCTCCTTTTCTTTCTCCTTTTCCTTCTCCTTCTCCTTCTCCTTCGAAACGGATTCCCTATGACGAGTTATGTCGAACGAAGACTTTTCGTTATTCGATTTGTTTGATCCACCGAGCGGAATTTTCGCCGGTGGCGGTGAAGAATATTTCTCGGAATTTTGATAAATCGACGAATTAACTGTAGTTAAAAACGTGGCACTGGGCTTAGACGGTAAGTATGGATCCACTTTCGAACTCTCCTGCCGTTTCACGTTCGCCAAAATTTCTTGCAAATTTGGTGGTATCGTTATATTCGATACTTTTTCGAGAATCGGCTGAGTAAATTTTGAAATACCCGCAGGCGGTGGTGGCGTGAACGATCTGCTGTCCGATGGACTGTACGCTTCCTCGCATTCGTCACTGGTAGCCGGTGGGTCCAGCCCTAAGCCCTGAAATCGACGAAACGGTTCAATATAACAGCAAATCAATCGCCTACATTTTATCAACATAATGCATTTCTCTTTTTAATTCGCGAAAGAAAAAAAAAGAGGAGTCACACGTTCGTAATAAAATTACTTATTCGAATTTTCAACAGCCCTTCTCCCATCTCGGTCTCTAAAAATTTCAATAATTAATTTTTAATTTTACGTTGGGAAAACAGAACAAACGAAGTCCGAACGATGTTGGCCGAAAGGGAAAGAGAATCATCGAGAGTACAGGAAAGCAGAGCTACCGACGGATTTATAATTTTTCCCACGATGTTCCTACCTTAACGTTTCGTTGTCCTTTATGTTATGTGATGATCATGATTAATGTTTCGGTAAGAAAAAATAAAAATAAAAATAAAAAATGTGTACGTGTGTGCGTGCGCGCATAATATTTGAAGTTCTAAAACGAATAAAAAACGATGTTACGTATATACGTGCGTTCGTGTGCACTAAAAAGAAGTTGATGCGAAAAGTAAACATCCGCGCAGCTCGAGAATAGGAATAGGCTACCATGGATAAATAGAAATCAATTTTATTTACAATAGGACACAACAGGAGAAAACAATAACAATCGATTTTGTAGAAAATAAATCTAGTGAAAATTCTCACCGGCAAAGTAGACGTTGATTCACCGAGAAACGACGAACTAATGCTTTGTATTTGTTGCTTCTGTTCTTCGATCTGTCTATTTAATTCCTCCATTTTCCGTTGGAGTTCGTTGGAACTTTTACTCGACGAAATAATACTGTTATCGATCGGCGACGTCACATCGATACTCATAGAAGCCGACATCGATATCGTGGTGGCTGCCGTGGATGCCGTACAAGACCGTAACTCGAGATCTATCTCTTGTTCGTCCATTTGACCAGGACTATAAGGTTCGTCACCGTCGTCGTCGAGAGGCGCTTTACCAGGCGAACACGTAAGATCGATCTTGGACGATAATTCTGGAACGATTTTACATATAGCCGCGGTATCGAGTAACGTGCTCCTCGACATTCCTATGTGCGCCTTGTTCAAGTTGTCGAGAGTGGTTTGCGTGACGAGGTGTTTCTCTTTCACGGACTCGCTCGTACCAACGTTTCCGCACGTTTTCTGATACGAATTCGTTGCTGTAATCGTGGTACCCGTACTCGAACCTGTAGCCATACTCGTACCCGTTACCATCGTCGCCGAACAAGAGGAAGCCGCGATCGTCGAGGATGCTGTCGACGCGACGGTGGCCGCGAGTATCGACGCGTTGAGAGACTTGTCCTTCGAAGCACTGACCAACGGTGGCGTGTAACTCCGATCAGCGTTATCCTTTTTCGACAACTTCAACGGTACCGTCGACGAACACGAGATACCTGCCAAACGTTTCCTCTTGTTTCGTACGATGATACCTAGAAGAAGATGAGGTCTGTGCTCTTCGAAACCAGGACCGTTCAACGGTAACAGAACCTGTGGTATCGTGCTTTGACTCGAGAAAGGCATTATGTAGAAATCTTTGATATTTTTCGAAACGTTTCCAACGACTCCGAGTCGACTTCTGCTATTCAGATAACTGTACAAAGTTATGTAGGGAATCTTCTCCTCGTCGTTTGCCGCCGTAAGTCGAATCACTAGAATCTCTTTCGAACCGGTTTTCTTCATCTTCGAGATATAATCCCAAACGGTTTCGTGACTTATTCGACCGACTACGTCGACGGTATCCGGTAAATCGTCCATTAGATCTTTCGCGTGGCCGCTCACTTCTTGCGCGGTGATGAAGAATTTTGCGACGTCTACCATATTAACGAACCCTCTCCAAACTGTTTGCCATCCTCCCTTGGGAGCTTCTCTTTCGATCGGACTCGGTTCTCGTTCTCTTTCTCTCTCGATCTCTTCATTGATGTCCGGTGTCTTGATCGTAACCGTCGAAGTTGGTTCTCGGTCAGACACGTCCGAATCGTTCCCATCTATGGTGTTGCTGGTCGTTTCGTCCTCGATGTGACGCCACAGTCGATCCTCGATCGGTTTTTCCGACAGAGATGCCGTACTACCCGATAAGTCGTCTTTCCTTTCCGTTTCTCTCTTCCTTTCCTCCTCTCTTTTATCGATGTCCTTTGATTCATAATGGACGAATCCACCACGATTTCGCGAATTGTTTTCGGCGCCTCTGTGCCGTTCCCTTTCCTTTTCTCTTTCTTTCTCCTTTTGTTTATTTCTGTCCTTCCCACCTTTATCGCGCGTCTTCGACTTTTCCCGATCTCTGGTCCTCGATCGTTCTCGGCCTCTGTCTCGATCTCGTTCCTTCTCCTTGTCACGATCTCTTTCGCGCTTGCCTTCCTTGTCCCGTGACTTTCTTTCTTTACTTTTATCTCTGGTTTTACTTCGTTCCCTGTCGTCTCTGCCGTGTTTGTGTCTACTCCTGCTAGTACTCCTACCGCGTCTACCTTTCGAACGACTGCCGTCTTTCTCCTTTACCCTTTCTTTTTCTCTCTCTTTCTCTCTACCTCTGTCTTTCTCTTTCTCCTTATCTTTATCCTTATCCTTATCTTTGTCTTTCCTTCTTTTATCGTCGAAATTTTTCAGCTTTCTTCCATCTTCCTTTAACCGCAACCTTTCTTCGTCGTTCAGTTTGTCCATTTCTTTTTCGATGTCGTCCACTGTCGAAGTTATACTGTCGGCGCTGTTCAACGCAGTCACGATGTCTTGCACGGGAGTTTTTGGATCAACGTGATCGATTCCACCGTCGTTCTCGATGTCCTTCGAAGCACTGACCAACGGTGGCGTGTAACTCCGATCAGCGTTATCCTTTTTCGACAACTTCAACGGTACCGTCGACGAACACGAGATACCTGCCAAACGTTTCCTCTTGTTTCGTACGATGATACCTAGAAGAAGATGAGGTCTGTGCTCTTCGAAACCAGGACCGTTCAACGGTAACAGAACCTGTGGTATCGTGCTTTGACTCGAGAAAGGCATTATGTAGAAATCTTTGATATTTTTCGAAACGTTTCCAACGACTCCGAGTCGACTTCTGCTATTCAGATAACTGTACAAAGTTATGTAGGGAATCTTCTCCTCGTCGTTTGCCGCCGTAAGTCGAATCACTAGAATCTCTTTCGAACCGGTTTTCTTCATCTTCGAGATATAATCCCAAACGGTTTCGTGACTTATTCGACCGACTACGTCGACGGTATCCGGTAAATCGTCCATTAGATCTTTCGCGTGGCCGCTCACTTCTTGCGCGGTGATGAAGAATTTTGCGACGTCTACCATATTAACGAACCCTCTCCAAACTGTTTGCCATCCTCCCTTGGGAGCTTCTCTTTCGATCGGACTCGGTTCTCGTTCTCTTTCTCTCTCGATCTCTTCATTGATGTCCGGTGTCTTGATCGTAACCGTCGAAGTTGGTTCTCGGTCAGACACGTCCGAATCGTTCCCATCTATGGTGTTGCTGGTCGTTTCGTCCTCGATGTGACGCCACAGTCGATCCTCGATCGGTTTTTCCGACAGAGATGCCGTACTACCCGATAAGTCGTCTTTCCTTTCCGTTTCTCTCTTCCTTTCCTCCTCTCTTTTATCGATGTCCTTTGATTCATAATGGACGAATCCACCACGATTTCGCGAATTGTTTTCGGCGCCTCTGTGCCGTTCCCTTTCCTTTTCTCTTTCTTTCTCCTTTTGTTTATTTCTGTCCTTCCCACCTTTATCGCGCGTCTTCGACTTTTCCCGATCTCTGGTCCTCGATCGTTCTCGGCCTCTGTCTCGATCTCGTTCCTTCTCCTTGTCACGATCTCTTTCGCGCTTGCCTTCCTTGTCCCGTGACTTTCTTTCTTTACTTTTATCTCTGGTTTTACTTCGTTCCCTGTCGTCTCTGCCGTGTTTGTGTCTACTCCTGCTAGTACTCCTACCGCGTCTACCTTTCGAACGACTGCCGTCTTTCTCCTTTACCCTTTCTTTTTCTCTCTCTTTCTCTCTACCTCTGTCTTTCTCTTTCTCCTTATCTTTATCCTTATCCTTATCTTTGTCTTTCCTTCTTTTATCGTCGAAATTTTTCAGCTTTCTTCCATCTTCCTTTAACCGCAACCTTTCTTCGTCGTTCAGTTTGTCCATTTCTTTTTCGATGTCGTCCACTGTCGAAGTTATACTGTCGGCGCTGTTCAACGCAGTCACGATGTCTTGCACGGGAGTTTTTGGATCAACGTGATCGATTCCACCGTCGTTCTCGATTATTTGTTCACCTTTGTGCGTTTTGACCACGATGGATTTAGCTTGTGCCATCAAATCCAACTCATTTTTCTTGATCATCTCTAACTGATGTTTAGTCTCTTTTTCTCGCCATTCGGCCAATTCTTGACTCGCCATTTCATCGGGGCTCAGTCTCACCACCGCATCCGGAGTTAACGATCTATCGGCAATTTTTCTGAACAATGTCAAATTCTTCGTGTCTTTTATATTAAATACGAGACTCCTGTACTTGGCCTTGTACTTTGCTCCGGTATCTCGAAAATATTTATACATCTCTAGCTCGATATTGTAAGCTAACTCACCGATTTCCTCGTCGGAAAGCTTCAAATCTTCCGTTTCCTTTATACGGCTAGATAACAACTCTGTTAAAGTTTTCCTTATGTTTAACCTGATAGGTTCAGGTTCAGGTTTTTTTGGTGGGCTTGGTTTTATCTGTTGTTTCACCTGCAAAGTTGTCTGTTTCGGTTCTTGTTTCTTAACTGTTGGCGATTGTTTCGGCGAGGCTATGCCCTGTTGTTTGACTTGCATCTGACCAAGCGATTTCGGCATCGTAGTTTTCAATAACAGGGGACTTTTGTTCGCTTGAGTTGGTAACACTTGCTTCAATTGCACCAACTTTGTATTCAATGACTGCGTTAATGGTTGCTGTTGTTGTTGTGTTTGTTGTTGTTGCTGCTGCTGTTGCTGCTCTTGTTGCTGTTGTGGATGACCCCCGGAAATAATCGTGAATTTTTTGTTCCCAGCTGTTAATATCATTTGCTTTGAGCCAGGCACTTTCGTGTATGTCATTTTTGGAAGGTTTGGTCCTTTTCCAGCTGATACCACGGTTGGTTTTCCCTTAAAGCACGGTTTTTTCTTTTTTAATATTTAATGTAGCAATAAAAATGGTACGAAATGGGGAGAAATCAAATGATCGGGACAACAATTTTCATATGTTACACTTACTGTTCTGCCAGGTGTTTGAGGTTGAACAGTCGTGATCGTTTTTCCAATTTGTAGTGCACCAACATTATTCGCTCCGACCACTTCGAACGTAGGATTTTCTTTTAACCATGTACGCAAATTTGATCTTGTCGGGGCATCGGCTCCTGAAAGAATAAAGAATGAAGTATCTCTATATACTTTCCTTTCTTTCTCCGCTGCATTACTTTGCGTAGGTACAAACTATGATTATTCGGTAATGCCGACTCACCGGCCAATACTCTGCCAGTTTTTCTTTCAAAAACTATCACTCTAGCCTCGGCTTTCGCCTTTGAAACAGGATCAAACGGCGACGATCTTGTTCCTTTCGGATTTGCCGCAACTCCCGGTACTGGTTTATCTTTGGTCAAAGTTTCTTGAGCATGCGCGAGTATGCACGCGTCCGAACAATAAATGCTAGAATTTCTTGCTTCTTTTTTACAAACTACGCATTGCATACCACTAGAATATTTAACACTATTGTAATCGCAACCGGAAACGATCAAAGACGATGTTTCTCCACCAATAGATGATGTCTGACCGACAGAGTTTGGACTTTTTGAGGTAATCGATTCGTCCATTATAGTATCCAATTGAATTCGCTGCTTTCCACTTATATTCTGAGTATTCGTTTTGTTTTTCATCTCTTCGCTCTTCTTTTTTGCACAATTTGGACAAACCCATTCTATCCCCTTTTCCTCCATTTGTTGTCCTTTGTAAGAAAAAATAACAAAATCACATTGATTTACCATATACTATTGCCGCTTTTGTTACTTATGCAAAATACTTATTGGTACGAGTCTTACCCATAGCTTTACTGACGTGCACGCATTTTCCATGAAACCAATCCTCACACACGTCACAACAAATCATGAAACGGTTATTATGAGGTCGCTTGCATATACACCATAGTCTATCGGGATCGTCTTCTGAATCTGAATTCTCTTCTTCCTCCTCATCCTCCTCGTCTTCTTCTTCTTCACCGATTTGCTTTTGTTCCTCTTGCTCTACCTCGTCCGCTTCTTCATCTATATCATCATTGTCATCGTCGTCATCCTGACCACCGCCGCCGACGCCACCACCAGCATTATCGTCCTCTTCTTCTTCTTCATCTTCTTCATCCTCTACTCCCATTTCGTTTTCATTTTTATCACCTTGATGCATGTTCGGGTGAATTTCATTTCTTATAGATTGCGACGTTCTGGATTGAATAGTTGGGACACTGAAAAAAATATCAGCAGTATAATAAATATACCCAATTTAATGATTACTTCACCTGAATAGTTTACCTGAATTTTTCCATTCGTTTGACGGATTCATAAGTTTTCTGAACGGGTTCAGTTTTTGCTTGTAACCGTTTACTTCTGGTTGCCGGTGCTTCAATAGGAGGTAACGTAATTACGCGTCCACCGCGAACGATCTGGATAGGTTCCTTTTCCTCCTTTGAAGGTTTCTTTTTTGATTCTTTAGCTTCGGTTATAGCAGTTCCAGCCGAAGCAATAATCGTCGCTGTATTCGACGTATTCATTACGATCGTAGTAGTATCCATCGATTTATTCCCGTTTTGCTCGGATGTAATCATAGGCGGAATAATCATATTATTCGAAGTCAATGTTTCACTCGCTGGTACACCTCCATCTTGTTCAACAAGCGTAGCCTATAATACAGTAAAAAATGAATTAATTATAAAAAAACTAAATATTATTTTCTGAAGGATGTAGAAATTAAATATCGTACATGACTAGCCAAGTCAACTCCAAGTTCCTCTTGTAGCAACAATGCTTCTGCGAGTAATTCTTCTTCGTGTTTATTAGCTTCCATTTCTAATGTAGCTAATAAATGTTCCTCGCCTTCTATGCAGCCTAATAATTAAGAAAGTGTGTAGTATAACGATTACGAAATAATTGGAAGTTTTTATTTTGCTCTATAAATACTTACTGGACTCCAAAGTTGGTTGCAACTCTTCCGATACGTTGGATTTTATTGTTGCTTTAGATTCGATTTCATTGTATTGCACCAAGGAGTCACCGCTTTCTCGCTTTTCCATTGGTGCAGGAGTTCCTGAATGCGCGTTGACTCGTTCGGAAGATGAACCAGTTGTACCTATTGCCGATTATCGGATAATAAACTTGAATCCATGACAAATTTGTGATATGTATATTAACACGAACCTAATTGAGTTGATGACACTGACGAAGTCAATGTCGACGATGACGATGACGTTGACGATGACGACGAAGACGATTGTGTAAATTGAGTGATAGAACCCGCAGTTCCTGAAGAAACGACTGTAGAAGACGGCACAGTAGAAATCAAAGACGTTACCACATTCTCTTGAATTTTTGAGTCACCGTTCGCACCGACACGCCGAATAATATCCGGAGTGGAGAAAAGTGCCGGACCTAAAGTATCAACCGTGTATCCCGGTGACTTACGACTTTCTTTCTTTGGATGTTTCTTCGTGCCTAAACAACGATTTTTAATTAATAATAGATCATCGATGTAATGTCATTATGTTTCTATTAACTGACCATCAAACATTTTGTTTTCTACTGCTTTTACAGAATCAATATCCGTTTTGGTAACAGCATCTAATCCGTCCGATTTCCTTTTCTCTTTCTTTCCGTCATAAGATTTTATTTTTGGTACTGCAGTGGGTGATGTCACCTTTACCATCTGTTGCTGTTGTTGTGGTATTTGTGATGTTTGACCCTGTATGGTGTTCGGCTGTTGTGCCGAAGGATCTTGGGATACGGGTCCTTTTATCTGCGTGACTGGTACGTTCGACGTTATGGTTTTAGCAGTAACAGGAATTTGAACTAATTTGCCATCTTTGGTTGCAAAGAATTTGGTTCCAGCTTGACTCAAAAATTTTCCCTTAGAAAGCATTACTGGTTTTTTCGCGTCAATATTTTTGAAGTCATTCGACTTCATAAGAACTTGCTTTTGAACAAAAGTAACTTTTTGATTACTCCTTCCTTGACCAGGTTTCGTCAGAATCATATCACCTTTAATCATATTGGCGTTGATCAAATTTGCTTTAACCTGATTCGTTGTTTGTAACGGTTTTTCGAAATTGACAGAACCATCCTCGTTTATTACAGAAGGCGAATCAATGCGTTGTAAATCTTCTTTCTTACGTCCGAAAGCTGTTTTAAGTTGTCTTTTACTTTTAATGAGACTAAATCCTCCTAATGAAAGGAAACAAATAATAGTATCGAGCAAAGAGAAGAACAAGCAGTACTTGTACTCCTTTATTCTCTTACCTGACTTGTCATCTTTTTCCGGACTTTTCATAGCATTAACAGCAGCAGCCATTTCCATATCTAACCGACGAACTTGCTCCATGTCCATATGTTTGTTGGGACCTCTTCTACGAGCAGCTGCCATGCTTCCTCCCCTAGTAGTAAGACCTTTCCTACCACCTCTAGCACGTATACCACCTCTTCTAGGACCTCGTGGACCAAAATCTGAATCATTATCGGATGGTGGTTCCGATTCGGATGACTCGGAGGACGACGACGATGACTCTTCTTCGTTCTCGTCATTAGATCTTTCTTGTTCTAATCGAACGAACAAAAAAAGTAGTAGTTACAGTGATCATTCCTCTGTCAATCCAATACAATTGGTAAGAAAATCTAATTACGTTTTCCGCTAGTCTGATGAACTGCACCTGTTAAATTTCTCGACATCGGATGTCTAACAGATTTAGGTGTACTCGTTATGCCGATAGACGATCTTATATTATTGGATGAAGATACAGAAACCGGTGTAGTATTCTTCCGTGGGCGACCTACAGGTTTACCCTGAATCAAATAATAAAGTACGAATGTAACGTATGTTGAATATTTCAAACAACGCGATGATACACTTACAGTTTTTATGGTACTTTTCGGCTTCAATAAAGCCGGATTTTCAATTTCACCGACAGGCGATGATGTTTTAGACGTTCCAGGAACAGGTGATAGTTGACGTATGTATTGTTGTGAACCATCATCGGAGGTAGGTGAATCGATAACAGGCAGTGGGTCCTTTGGCTTTGGATCAGAAGGTGATAATCTACTCGTGTAACAGTGATCCAATTTAATGCTATACCTTATAGAATTTTGTTGCTCTTCTACTGTTAACATGTCTATAAAATTCAACAATTAACAGATAAATTGTTAGTTAAAAAAGTTGAAGCACTATAATTGTACTATTATCAAGACAAAATAAAGTTAATGGTACCAAGCATAGCGGTAACATTTTCTCCAAGAATTTGTTTTGCTTCTTCGCTTTGTAAGGCTGTCTCTAATCTTTCCAATTGTTCTGGATCCATTTCCATGAAAGGATCAACAAAACTATTTGCATCGGTTGTTGTAGTTCCTGAATTTATAGTGGTGGGTGTAAACGGTGGAGGATCTACGGTCAACGTAATATCTCCATTTTCAGCGTCCGATTCAGCCTGACCTACTCTAACAACACTGACATTTGCATCAGACTGATTCACTGAAAATTGATAAGAAACAAATTAATGTGTTATGCGCAGACCATTACCTGACCAAATAACAAGGAAAACTCACTGATTAAACTTTGTAAAGTTTCTTGATCCACGGATATTGTACCATCGTCGTTAACGATGATAATCAATGTATCGTCCTTTTTTTCTGATCCACACTCCCGTGGTTCGATAACATATGAGCTAGACATTTTTCCTTAACCTAGAGAAAAGGTCGCAGTGTTTGTTTTTAGTCGGGCCGTCGTATCAAAGATAATAATCGTAACGTGCCCGCCTTCCAAGTCGAACGTGGTCGGGCGAAAGGAAGGTTACGAGTACCCTTAAAGGGGAGTAGTACAGTTCGAATGGGCATCGAGAGTATCGAAACAACTTGATAAAAGTTCTGTTTAGCTAAGCACTTTCTTCACTATATAAAAATCATGCGTCGCTCTATATATACGAATATCGTAGGAGCCGGCAATGGTATCGATAGTTATCGAACACACAGAGTTTTTTGTGATCCATTGAAAAAAAATTACGAGAAACTAGAGAGAAAATAAAGCAATGGGAGGTAAAAAAACGCGTTCCACAGTGTCGTACCGTGCCGTATCGCGTAGTGCACGCTTAAAGCGTTATTACCTATTTTACGAATATAAAATTGCAAACTTCTCGAGACCACTAATAACTCGCAAGTTATTAAAAATTGTGTTATTAAATTTATATCGATTGATAATAAAAAATTAAATACACAACACCTTTGATGCCGCACTTTATAAGAAACACAACGTTCACGGTCAAGTAAACAGTACCGCCAAGAAAAGGACAGTCGCCATTTTGTTTGAGTCAGCCAAGTAACGTTTCTCAAAAATTGTCGGTTATCCGTCGTTGTTTTCTTGTTTTAAAGTTGTTCCACACAGAATAATTATTACAAAACTGTTTCCTCAAAATTTACATGAAAATAATGTAACTCGCGAGAAAGTTGAAGTTTTTTTCAGCGACACATCGTGTTACGAATGCACTTGTGCCTTTCTGCACACACTGAGACGCTGCGCGCTTCTCGTTGCGCAACAGGAGTAGTACGAAGAGCAAACCAGTAGCGCTGTAACGCGTGAAGCGCACCGTATCGAGTTGTAATCGGCAGAAAGTAAATTCCATAAATCTCCTAACTGTTCACTGAAAATTTTCTGTTCACTAGTGTTTAAGTAATTTATCATTTACGTATTTGTCACGTTATATCTTTGTAGATATTCTTTACAAGGCCGCGTATCGATATCGCATATACGTATATTACATGTACTCCAAATATGTGTTATGTATATCGAATCTTCAATGTATTCCTTTCTACTAGCATTTTGTTTTTTTCGTTTCTTCGTTACATTAAAATTGGTTAAAAAAATTATAATCGTTTAAAATTAATATCGTACAAATAAACCAGAATAAAATTTTTTGTCGAAAACAGTGTGTGCGTATAGTTCTTAAAACCCTTTCTTTTATCTGTGGTATGAAATATTTATGGTATGAATTAATAGAGTAAATTCATATCATAAAATTTGGTCAGTTACGATAAACTGCAATAAAAATACACATAACTTGAGAATGATATGAGCATAGTAACGTAGTCGACCGAACTGTACAACTGCTGCGTACAATAACCGCGTATGTGTTGCGTCACGCGTCAAATCACTGCTGTCAACTACTGAACATTATATTGTACAATGTAAGTGCATGTTTCGTTGTCGGGAAAAAGAGCACGAAAATATTATTTGTTGAAAAAGAATCGTAACGTTGACGAAACAGAAGTAAAGAGTAGGGCAATCAACCAACGGCGATTTATATATTAAAATTTAATAAATGGAGGTTGAAAAGACAGAAACTGATATGATGAACATATCAGACGAAAATACGACGGAAATAAAACGACAAAAGAGAGGAATCGTGTATTTGTCCAGTATACCTGAATATATGAGTATCGCGAAAATTCGTGAACTATTTTCAGTGTACGGAGAAGTTGGAAGAATGTATTTACAATTAGCACAGAATGGTTAGTTATCACGCAAGAAAAGAAAAACTTGAATTTGTAAAGAACCTAACCTATATTCGATGTATCTTTTACATATATAGTGCAGTAAGCATTAATTTTGCAACTTCTAATTCACATTTTAAGTAATATTATAGTTTATATTAGATACGTGAAAAATATAGTAAAATTTTTCAAAGATTTTTATATTTCGTAATCACTTTGTCTTCAGAATTAGACAAGAATGGTAAACCAAAAAAACAAAAGAAAATTCGCAACAAACAATTTACTGAAGGTTGGGTTGAATTTAAAAGTAAAAGGGTAGCAAAATATGTAGCAGCTACATTAAACAATACTCAAGTATCGAACAAGAAAAAAAGTAAATTTTACGATGTTACATGGAATATAAAATATCTTCCAAGGTAAACTTTTAAAATTGTTATGAATGAAACGAGCGAGGTAAGAATATGTTTAAGCTTTATTTGTTTATTTATGTTTTATTTATTTACTAGGTTCAAATGGATTCATTTAAGCGAACGTTTAGCTTACGAGAAAGCAGTGCGTAAACAAAGACTTAGAACCGAAATTGCTCAAGTGAAGAGAGAAGTTAACTTCTTTTCTCATAACGTCGATAGGAGTATCAAGCTACAAAAGAAACAAGAACTAAGTGGCAGTAGTACATTTGTACCACCGGTTATAAAGCAAAGAGACACAGATGCAGAGATTAGAAGCAAGAAGGAAAGTGAAAATACAGTGGATAGGACAGATTTCTTAAAGTCATTATTTGCATAGTGAATGTTTAATGATACAGTTGAATGATACAGTGATGCGAAATGAGAGACTTGATATTTAAATATAATGGCAATCCATAGATGTTCAATTGCCATATAATAGAATTGTTCTCCTCTCTTTTTATCTTTCAATAGAGAACAAATAAAAAAATTTCTATAATTTTCAATAATTTTTATACATCTCTCTTATTTTTCATTCTAAAAACATATTCATGCAAAATGACTTCAACATGTATCTCTCATGACACGTTAACGAATAAATATTTCGTTTACATTAAACATTTGCGGTCATTTACTCGGACGATTCTGGTTAATAATAAAAGATACATATTGTAAAAAACCGTGCTGTTGAAGAGATAAAGAAATTCGCGTGGAACGCCTCACGGTGATCCTGATTTGACTAGTATTTTTCAAGTTAATTTATAGTTGTCAATAATAGAGGCTCATTAGGCTCGATTGAAAGAAGTTTGAAGAAACGGAGGAACGAAGAAAAAGGAAGAAGGCGAAAAACAGAAAGGGAAAGGAAGGAAGTAAAGTAAAAGAGATGGAAAAAGGGATGGCCGCAAGAAATTTGTTCGCCACCGACAAAACGTCGATTCCGCCCCTTGACGATCAATTGGCTCAATTTAGACTGGGTTATTTTTCCGTCGATGAAAGAAGGTCAGTGTTTCGTTGCAACGCATGGCGCCACAGCGTCGCCTCGTACACGATGATCTCCCTATATTCTTAATTCTTATTTTCATTACCGTTAACCAACTCGAATAGCCTCCAACGGCGTAGAAACGTTAAAAGGAAGCCACGACTCTCGATATGGACCGAACGGATAATCTTCAATAGACCCAACGGCGATAACGGCGCGACGATGTAAAGATGATTTCGAATTTTCCATTTTATCCGACGAACAAAATATTTTTTTCGAGATTACTCGAATATTCGAATGTTTCTGTCCCGCATTCGATCCACTGTCGCTGTCGCGCTGACAATGGTAATAATATCTATCGATCATTTAATTCTATGTAACTTTCCAATCAACGAGTTTGCGTTGTCGCTATGATAGCAATTGCCTTTCGCATCACACAATAATACATAAGATTGTCGACAGCCGATGATTACGAGGTTGCGATACTCGGTCATCGACGATCATGATAATCTACGCGTTCCTTCCCTAGCAAACAGAAAGAATTTGTTCGCTCGAATTCATTTGCCAAAAATTATCGTTGCATGCAAGGAACAATGGTACCTAATGAAGCAGTCGATGAAAAATCGAATTTAGGAGAACGATCCAGCAACTTGTGTATCCTTACAAGCTTAGAAACAAATGAATTTTTCTATATGATTCGTTAATTATTTGAATGCGATGTTGGTACGACGACGTCTCTGATCCTCGCGTTATCGAAGGGTATGCCGTCATTGTCTTCGGTTTAACAACGTATGTAGCATCTTTCTAAGATATTGTAATCGCGTTTCGTCTCACCTGTCTACCGATGGGATATGAAAAATAATTTAATTCTCACGTTGATAGGTGAATTTTCTTAGACTTCTGTTGGTCCTTCTCGTTGGTCGTCGCGTATCGACACAGCCAGCAACAGTACGCAGCTTACGTTTGTCCGCATCCCCTTGTCACCCACTGGCTTCAGTGAAATTCAACGGCACGTGTACTCAAGGCAATTTCTTTTTCTTTTTCTTTTTCTTGTTCGTCGTCGTCGTCGCCATCGTCGTTCCACGTGTATCCTAAAATTGTCGTTGATCAACTATGTTTTGTTCTCTCGTCAACGCCCACAGTTTTTCATTCTTCCTTTCCCTTGGTTGATTCTCAAACTATATCTGCGTACGGTGTTTCATCGTGCATTCGCGTCCAATCTGCAAAAAGTCAAGTTGATACGATCCGATTGAATTCGGTTCGGTTCGAGCGTGTCCGACGAAAGGAAAAAACAAAATTACGAGAGGGTGAAGGAGGACACGTGCGAAAGAGCGGAGAAGAGAAAAAGGTAAAGAAACGTAAATAAATAGCTCGAATCGAAAAAGATGTAAGCTACTCGTTATTTGCAAGGAAGAAGATTGCAGACTCTATTTCTGCTTGTTCGCAATTAGGCGGGTAGCCGGTGGTGCCGAGGGAGGTAACTGGAAGCAGCAAGAGGGTGAAAGGGCGAAAGGCCGGAAGGGCGTGGGAGATAGCAGAGGGTAGCCATAACACGGTAATTCCCCGGCAAAGTTGAAGGAAGAAAGTGACGCAGAAAGACGTTCTTTCTGACAGAAAAAGATACATGCACCGAACACCCACCGCGAGAGGTGTATATTAGAGGAGGAACGGCACGGTGCTCGGATCAGAAGGATTCTGTTCGTTGTGCCGTTCCCGTCCGACCTAAGGAAGAGCGTATCGAGGTACGTCTTTCGAGATGCCGCTTAACAGTTATGCTCTGTACTTATTGTTATCTCGATCGACGCGAAACTTTTTGATTTTGGAAGAGACGCTACGCGGTACAGTTGGCATTGTCTTTAAAAGTCTAGGTTCGTCCTCGGTACCCAGTGTCGAGTGTCGAGTGTCGTATATCCGAGTGTCGAGTATCGCGTGTCGCGTCGCTTCGTTTCGAGTCGTGACTAGGAAATGAAGCGGCTAGGAAAATCGAAAGAAACGGGGCAGCAGAGAAATGACCGATCAACACTGACAATTCGAGCGTTCGGAGTCGTTCAAATTAATTTCGACTGAATCGAAAATCTTCGATTACGTTCGGAACCGCGCGTTTACGACGCAGGTATCGCGCCGATTCGCACGTGGCGTGTTTCGCCGGAAAAACGAAGAACTTTAAGGATTTCTCGATCGAGACTTACACCGAATCGAGTGACGCGCATCGGGATAATATTTACGCGTAACTACGTTTCGTTCGTAGCTTGATAACTATTATTTAACGATCGAAATGTAGTTTATTTCTATATTTTGTCCTTTTTTTATATACAGTGTTAAAAATGTGAAAAAGTTTCTTTCGTCGTTCGTAATCATCACCGATACTGCTATTTACGCGACTCTGTTCGATTTTCGAGAAAACTCGCAGTTCGCGCTTTCTAAATAAAATATCGACGTTATTCGGAGTACTTGTTTCATATCCAAGAAGTTCAACTGCAAGTGGGCATAATCGTAAGGAATGGTAGCTAAAAGCGATACCGAACGAGTTTTTTCTTTATTAAAGTGATCGTTACGATTTTGTTTTTGGATTATTAACGAAAAACACGGAGCAGAGAGAGCGCATCCACGAGAGTGTTGGCTATGCGCCGATGTTGATCGTGGTTGCGAACAAACAAATCTGTGATGTATCGGTATCGTAGTACGCATCAGCCAATACGCAGTTGTACAATACAATTCATCAATTATTAATGAATATAAATATGCCGACAAAGCTAATTCTACGAGTCAAAATAAAATGAAAGTCAAGAATGGGAATTTTACATCTTGTTTGTTCGCGACTACTGTCAATATCAGTGCATAGTGAACACTCTTGTGGCTGAGACCGCGCGCTATAATAATTCAAAAACTAAACCTTAACGAACATTGTGGCAAAAAAAACTTGCTCGTTATCACACCGTCTGCGCTAACACCTGTTTTTTGCTATATTTCTTATTCTTTCGAAATTACGAATGCAGACATCAATGAAACATCAACATTGTTGGCGATAGAAATAACCGATTCGAATTCGGATTCGCGTTGAAATTTGTATGGAACCACTGGATCGCGATAAAGTTGAAAAAGTGAAACGAAAGTCGGGTCTATTCACCGTGCATCGAAGGTACGAACGATCGTTGGATCGATCGATTCGGAAAGATATTCCGAGCATTTTCTACGGAACTTGAAGGCGAGCTACTTTCCGTTTTCAGAGAAGTTGCAGAGTTATTTATAGCGTCGTGTAGTGATCTGCTTGTCGAAAAAAGGATATATCCGTCTTCCGTCCGTTTTCTCTTTATTTTTTTTCCAAAGTCTTTACTCGGGGAGCATTTAGATCGAACGATATCGATCGTCGACGATCGATAGCGTGCAGTACGGTTAGGATTAAACGAACACGCGTATCGATTTGCAGGAAATTTGAATAGCATAATTTTTTAGGAAAGTTCGACGACAAGGATCGGCGACGCGTTCCGCGCGCGATCGAATCGCGTGTCGCACGATATCGGTAAATAAAATGGAATGGTTTTCGGTCGCGGCCGGGGAACAGAAGTAGACACGGGTGAAAAGCAATGATCCGTAGAGTAAGGGGCACGGTGCAGGAAGCAGCGGAGAGAGCACGGTAGGAGCAAAGGCAGGAGCAGGAATAGCCGCTTCGGCTAAGCGGTGCGAGGGGAAGGACAAAGGGCGAAGAGGGCGGAGGAGAAGTAGAACGAAGGCTCTAATCGGTGTGGAAGGGGCTAGCAACGAACGGTCGCGCGTAAGAGGAACCTAGGCCGATCGTAGTTGTTTCGAGTAGCCGCTTGACTCGCGCAGGAGGGTCTTTTTAACCGTCCATTCGCGTTAAGTGGCAGTCGTAACAGAAAAGGATGACGAAGCGAGTGCGCGCTTCGTAGCCCGACGCATCGAGTCCGATCCCGAGTCAGTATTCGCCGTGATTGGCTACTCCGTACCAATCTTTTGCTCTTTGCGCCGAACCCGATAAATCAGTCGCGTCGCGTCGCTTTATACGTTATCTCAATACGTATTTCTCCTCGTCTTCCCCGACGACCGATTGGTTCCTGTCGAATTCACCGCTGATTCGTCCCTCGATCTCGTATTTGCCCGCGCTAGCGATTTATCGTCGTCGACGAGCCGATAAAGATTCTCTGGTCGCGCGCTTCGTTCGCTGGCTATCTCGGCAGCACGCGCGTACGTTAACGTCGCGTCACCGAGTGCGATCGGTATCGGAGTAATTTTCGATCGTACGATAACCGACGGGAATCAACGAGGAAAAGAGTCAACGAATCGATCCGCGCAGACGAGGCTCGAGGAGAGAAATCGCGAGATTATCGAGGTATCCGTAAAAAAGTCGAGAAAGAAGGAAGGAAGGAAGGCGAGGCGGAAGAAAAGAAGGGGAAAAGATAATCGTGGTAAAACGAAAATAGAAGGAGGTGGCGGTAGAGGTAAAGGTGTCTCGGACGGAGGCGAAGGCGGTGGCGGTGGCAGTGGCAGTGGCAGTGGCAGTGGCGGTGACAGAGGCGGAGGTGGA